ATCTTTGTAGGTTTGAAGTCAGTGATGCCCAATAGCTTGGCCACTGAGTAAGGCATTAGGTTCACACTAGAACCCAAATCACAAAGTGCTCTATGGAAGTGTGTAGAACCGATCTTGCAAGACAAAACAAAACTCCTGGGTCGTTCAGCTTCTCTGGCATGCGATTCTGAAGTATGGCGCTACACTCCTTTGTAATCATCATTGCTCCTTCTTCAAGACTCACATTGCTTGTGAGTATGGCCTTCATATACTTCCTGAGAGATGGAATTATTTGGCAAGCATCAATGAAAGGTAACCTTACTGAAAGTTGGCTAACAAGATCCTTGAGCTTTGCTTGCTCCTTCTCCTTCTTGGGTTGAGAAAGAACATTTCTGTATGGGATCTTTGGCTCATACACTCTTGGTTCTTCAGGTGGCTTCTCCACTTCCTCCTGAGTTCCTGGTTCTATTCTGACATGGACTTCCTTAGGTGGTTCAGTCCCATCTCCAATGATAACATACTCCATTGGTTTCTTCTTGACTTGGCGGCTTTGCTTCCTCTTGATCTGGGTATGCTGGTGGCTCATACCCTTTTCCATTCCTAAGAGTGATAGCTGCTACAGCTGCTCTCCTTGGATTGATTTCCACTTTTCCTGGTAGCATACCTTCTTCTCTCTTAATAGAGCTGGCTATGTTGGCAACTCTAAGATCCAAGTCTCTTGTGAAAGAAGAAATAGAATCCAACTTCTCATTCAATCTCGTGAAGGCTGACTCTCTCATCAATCAAGGCTGTGTGCTCTCTATGAGAACTCTTGATGAAAGTTACCAAATCTTCAAAGTTGCTCCTTGGCTCCATTCTTCTCTTGTGAGGTGGTTGCTGATAATTTCTTCCTCCATGAACATCCCTCTTCTCATTGGGTGATTCTTGAGTAAAAACATCATGCTCTCCCTTTCCAAGCTTCTTCTCTATGTGCCATCCATCTATTCCAACAAAGTTTACTTCTTCTTGAAACTTGGAATCAAATCTCCAAAGTAATCTTGAATTATTGTGGACTCAACTCTATAAGCTTCTCTTTGTCTCTCCACTTCTCTTCCTTGGTTTCTCAGTATCTCAGCCATCATGGCTTTGATCTCGCTGTATCCATCTCTGTATGGATCAGAATTTATGGCCTTCACTGCTCTCTCATGCCAATGAAGTTGTCACTGTCGCTTGAGGCTAGATTTTCAATCAAAATCTTTGCTTCAGTAACTGTCTTGGTCATGAAATTTCCATTGCTGGCTGTATCAAGAGAAAATCGACACTTCCCACTTATTCCTCTGTAGAAAATGTTCCATAGACTGCCCTCAGATAGTCCATGATTAGGACACTCTCTTGTATAGTCCTTGAAGCGCTCCAATGCTTCATGAAAAGGCTCCACCGGCCCTTGTTGGAAACTAGAGATCTTTTCTCTCAACAAGTTTGCTCTCTGCTTTGTGAAAAAGTGACCTAGGAATGCCACCTTGTACTCTTTCCATGTGGTTATGGATTGAGCTGGAAGAGACTTAACCCAGCGCAAAGCCTTCCCTGTCAAAGTGAAAGAGAATAGTTTGCACTTTAAGTACTCCTTGGGTGCACCTCCTGCACTGATGGTGCCACAAATTTCTTCAAAAGCATCAATATGTTCCAAAGGATTCTCCTGGGTTTTCCTTGGAACTGGTTTTGTTTCACCAAACCAATGATCTCCGGCGAAATCTCATAGCTTCTTCCTTCAGGAAGTGGCGGCTGGATGGGATTCCGATCGATTAGTAGTGTTGGATTGGAATCGAAGTCTCCCATGACTTCTTCATTGTGTCGCGCTCCATCATTGGCGCGATCGTGCGCGGTGTTGGATCCGGCGGATCTTCGTGCTGCTCGGCCAGCGCGATCTCTCTCGCGGCCAAGTTCTCTCTCCTCTTGATCGTCTGAATCACTCATGTTAGAGTCCTTCTTTCAAGCTTAGTACCTGAAAGGGATAGAGGCAAGATTCTTTAAATAGAAAACAGTAAAAAGGAAAAACAAAAGTTGAAAGTTTGCAAAAACAAAAAGGAAAAACGAAATTCTAGGCTAGACTATAGTTGGGAACTCGAAGGTAGCTGTATTGCTCCCCGGCAACGGCGCCAAAAACTTGATCGCGGGATCAGGTCTTCCCTTTTCCTATCCCTGATTCTGCAAGTGCACAGGTCAAAGTAGTAAACGGGTATCGAACACAAGGAGCAGATAAGTACACTTCGAGTATTGCAAGTCTAATATAGCTAGAAAACAAGTATGATTTAGGGTTTTCATTGTGTAACAAGGAAATCAAACAGCAGATTAAACGGTTTATGAAAATCAATAAGGGAAACGCTAGGCAATGAGAAACTCGCAGAGATTCAAGGTTAACAAGATATTAGAAGGTTCGCTAGGGTTTGCGCTATCTAGAACTCAGGTCACGATTGTATGATCTTTCCACTGTCGAGGCTCCGACCCCTTTGTTAATCTACCTAGTCGCTAAACTTTTGGTATGTCCCTAGGTGATTAAATCAAGCAATAGTTCGTTCAAGACCCAATTGTTCACAACCCCGCATAGATCAACTTTCGCAGTCTATGAAGTTTTGCTCACCAAATACTTAGTTCAGGTTATATAGCAAGCTTTTGGAGAGTATATGAAACCTAAGATCTGATGCTAGTTGATCAGAAAAGCAAGCAGCAATGAATTCAAGCAGAGGCGAAGATGCGATATATAAACCCTATGTGACTTCTAACAACCTATCAAACCATGAACTCTTTGATAGATCTCACAACCTAACTAGTGAATTACTCAGACATAATCAAAGCAAAAACACAAAGAGATGAAGAAAACATGATTGCAATAAAACTCAAAGTATGAAATCGTAATACAAGGGCTCTCTTTTCACAAGAGGCTAAAAAGCTATATATATAGTGCTAGGTCTTTTGAGGCGGCTTAGGGTTAAGCCGGGCCTTGAAAATATGAAATCGGGCTTCAAAACGGGCTTCGGGTCGACCGCGGCGTTGGGACGGTCGGTCGGGACGATCGGCCGGATAGGGTCGTGGCCAGTCGGATCGATCGGGTCGATCGTGACCGGACGGATGCGTGGTCGACCGCTGTGGTCGGGCGGATGAAGACTTGGCGACGAAATCTCTCGGCCGGACGCGAGGCGTAGTTCCCATAGATGATCCGCATGGATGATCCGCATCCATCTATTCTATGGATGATTAACACCCATAGACACCTCAAACGTGGCTTACCACATTGCACAATGTTACCATAACCTCTATACTGACCATGCAACAATCAAACAAGAACATGCATGATCAATTAAAGATTATAAGCAACATCAAACAATGCTTAACCACAACCTAAACATTCTACCTATATGCTGCAGACAGACCAGATTACCTAAGGTAGTTTTTGCGACTCCTTTTCGACTCGATAAAACGTTTTAAAATCCTTGTTCCCGAGCATGATCATGAATCATGCTCTGATACCACCATTTGTAACACCCCCGAACCGTCCTAGGCACAGACGTTCCGAGAAGCGCCACAAAATGTCGATGTTCGCCGAATAGGCCATCCCAGACTAAGAACAAATCAGAGCCCAGGTCAGCCCGTTCCACGAACTCGACCCTCTTGACCAAAGCCTAAGGCTTGCCAACCCGTACTTCGGTCAGGAGTTGTGTTAGCCCGGACCAAGCTAATATCATTGGAACATAAGGTCTTTACATAAAACTTTCCTTTATTAAAATATCAGAGTGCTTACAAAATCCGACTTAAAAACATGCGGATCGATCCTTAGTTCCAAACCAAACAACAAACCATATTTTACAAAAACATACCACAAAACTATTCTGGCGCCTACTGCCTGCAGCGGTCCGCTCTACTTCACACCTCTACGGTCACCTGAAAACATTAAACAAAAGGAATGAGTAATCTAATATTACTCAGTGAGTCTAGGACCTCTATACAAGGGGGATTCCCTAAACTCCAAACACAAACGCCGCGGGCTTGTAACCCCGCCTCACCTGCAATGAGGTTAGCACAACACAACATATGCAATCACATGCATATTGATGCCATAGTCTTAAGACTAACCGTACCCCAATCAAACAAGAACAGGTACGATCAACCCAAGACTATAACAACAATCAAACAATCTATATGCAATGCCCATGCAAACCTAGACAAGTATCTAATACTTGTTTTCTATATGCAATAAGGCGCCTAGGTGCATTAGCCACATTCTCTGCCCACGCCTGTGAAGGTTCACGCTCATCCGGAATCACACAGAAACTAGATGAACGCCTTCACCCGGGCACTACAGTCCATCGCGGTACCCGGTTCATCCTTCCATCTATTGGCCTTACTGGCGCACCATGCCAATGTCTGGTTGGATCCCATATCGTCATATGGTACCATACTCGGCCAAGGCAGCTGACCAGGTTATCCTCCGAGTCTTCCTCCCTTCATGCACAGCCTCCACGCTGCCAATCCGGTTGGGCTCTGACGTGCGAGAATGCGCTTGACTACACCTTCCTAGACAACATGTGGTTAGACACGCCACATGTTCTCAGTACTTAGCATATGGGCCTTTACGCACCACTATGCCTCATACCACCGGTTCTGCGGCAGAGCTTCCCTTGCCTCGGAAGAGTACCCACACGAACCTTGAAAGATCTGGCGGCTCAGCCGTCCGTGATCTTTCCACATCGGAGTCATACTCAACATATGGGCCTTACGCACCACCATGTTAGTATGCACTCGAGGTTTAGCGGCATAGCCATGCTATAACCCCACAACCGATGCATCTATGAGATTTGGCGGCATAGCCATCCACAATCTCACATCACCTAATGTATAGATATGCATCTACACTAACAAGATCTGATGGCATAACCTTCCCCGAAGGTTACCCATCACAATCTTACACAGAAAAGAGATCTGTTGGCATATCCTTCCCGGAAGGTTACCCAACACAACCTCACACACAAAAGAGATCTGGCGGCCTAACCTTCCCCGAAGGTTACCCGACACAACCTCACAACACAAGAGATTGATGGCATAACTTCTCTCCCTAGAAGATTACCCATCACAACCTCACAACAATGCAAACCTGCATATAAACACACAAGAGATTTGACGGCATAACTTCTCTCCTAGAAGATTACCCATCACAACCTCATAACACATTATATAAATTTCTGCAGCATAACTCTCCACAATTTTTACTAAACCTTATTGTTTAGAGAGTTATACTACAGAACCAATAACCAATATGAACAGAAAGCATCTCCCATGCTTTGGTGTTCATACAACCTGCATACACAAATATAGATCCAAAAGGCTAAAACTATAACACCAAGACTCACCACTTTAAGAAGACTTCAAGACCCTCCTAGCTTTCCTTAAGCTTTGATCTTGACCTACTCTAATCTTCCACTAACCTCACTTAATTAAGAAAACTTTCTTAATTACTCTCTAATCACTTTTCAGGTGCTCTCTAGCTTTGGGAATGGAATGGTTTGGACTTGGGGCTGGAGGAGCGTATTTATAGGAGTTCAGGAGGCTGCCTGGCTTCTTGGGACGTCTCCAGTCATGCGCAGAACACATGGAGACCTAGGTCTAGCATAGCTTTGCTTGGTGGCGACCTACACTGCCTCAGAACGCGACATCCAGGCGGTCTAGGCTAGGTAGCTTTGATTGGTGGCCTCTAGGGCGTCTCAGGACATGACACACGTCATTCCTATCCCCTCTCAATGCTCATCCAATGAGCCGACTTCCCCCAAGCATGTGGTGTGGTCGTCCGATTGGTTATAACTCATCTTATCCATTAAGATGCTGGGTGCTTCTGTCTGATTGGTCAGCTCTTGATCCAATCCGTTTCTGCATCTCTCCACTTGCTTCTCATCCACTCCTGAAGCTTCTCCTCTCTCTCAGTGGTTGGTGTTGCATCCTGATTCGTCCAAGTCAATTTCGTCTCCATTGAGCACTTCTGTGTCTCCGTCTGATTGGTTTGGACAATTCTTGTCTCTCATGAGCAGCTGGGTGTCTCTCCCTGATAGCATTAGGTATTCTTGGAGTTTATCCACGCCCTCTCTCCTCTTTAGCAGCTGGTGTCGTTGCCCAATTGGCTTAGGCTTGCTTCGTCTTCATTCGGTAGCTGGATGTTGCTACATGATTGGCTGAATGGTTTTGGCTCCATCTGAGTAGCTGCATGTCTTCTCCATATTGGTTATGATCATCCTTATCTTCTCCAAGTATCTGGTGTCACCACTTGATTGGCTTAGAACAAGATTGTCCAAATGTATGTTTCCTCGTCCAGAGGGTTTCGTACGTTTCCCTGTCTGGAGGGTTTCGTCCCCGTCTTGCTTGAGAATTAAAATCTCCTATTTTAATCCTTCTCTCATTTCCATGTTTCTGATCTTCCACATAGTTGCTTGGAAATGTGCGGAATACCTCCATCCTGAACATTTTCGTTTCTTGCAGTCGTTGCGGATAGATCTTGGGCGTCCGTCCCATCTCTCAATCTGCCCGTCCGATTTGCATTCTGCTTCGACCAAACTTCTTAGAATGGTCTCTTATGTCGTCCAAACTCTTCTCTTCTTGATTTGGAGAACTTTGATATTTCGTCGTCCTGTTGACCATGTTCGTACAATGATCGTCCCGCCTGGACAATCTTGCTGTATCTTCGGTTCCGCTCGATCGTTCTTGATCCTGTCTTGACCCAAGTCTTCGTTGTGATCTCTGGATTAGATCCTACGTCTTTGTCTTCCAATCCCAGAGTGTTGATCTTCCCATCCCGGCCTTTGGGATGTTTTAGGTCTTGATACGGGGTATCACATTCTCCCCCCCCTTAATAGAATTCGTCCCCGAATTCCAATTCTAGAGAGTAGGAACGTTCCATTGTTCCGGTGTCTCTCTCCACATTTGAAGATGCCTTGCCTCCTCTTACTCTGTCTTCACGTTGCTCCTTTGCAGACTCCTCTTACTTTGTCTTCACGTTGTCCCCTTGCAGACTCCTCTTCCACTGATCTCCTCTGATTTTCCTTGCTCAAATCTCCATTCCCATAACCATCCATCCCGGCTTTAACTATGGGTTATCTAATGTCAAAACCGTACCTTAACCAATACTTCTCTGTTGGTCTTGATCCCGGTCTGACCACTCTAGCGAGGTTCTCCTAACTTCGCTAACCACCTAATCCCTTACTCAAGGATCTTCCGTCCTAGCCTTATTTCCCTCTTGGAAACAGCATTCACGGAATTTCCTTCTATTAACACATCGCTTCCCTTTAAGGGTTCCACTCGATGTGCTAATACCCAAAACTACTTTACCAGAACCACTTGGTTCCAAGGATATCCGCTCTAGTTTCATTTTCCACTGGAAATAGAAACATCGGAATCTCCTTTCACCACATCGTTTCCCAAAACATGGGTTTCCTAAATGATGTCTCTACCAAACTCAACTTAAATCACTAAACAATCCTACTTACTATACCAATTAAGCAAGAAAATAAACCATTCAAAGATTGAGTTAGAACCCGAAAAATACCTCTTCTCGGCATGTGATTTAGGGTTCCTAAACTCTATCTTACATTCTACGGCTTCCACTCCCTGGTCGCCTCTCTCTCCTTGTGGTTGAGCAGGTGGGTTGACTAGTACCGGGGCAGTTCCTTGGACAGTCTGCTGAGAAGTGTCCTTTCTCTCCACAAGTAAGGCAAATGTTCTGCCTTTCATTCATCCTTGATCTAGCTCGCACATTGGGACATGCCCTGCTATGATGTCCCGTCCTTCCACATTGATTGCATGGTAGCGTGACTTGAGACGGTGCTGGGACTCTCATCCTCGCGAGTCTTCTGGGAGGCCTTCCCCTTTGGCGTGACACAGTTTGTTCTTGGCCATTACCCTCTGTTCTGAGATTCTCCAATTCTGTGGCGATTATCTCAGCCCACCTTCTTGCTAGGTTAAGACCTTCATCATCTTGTAGCCATTCATTCTCTCTGGTACCTTCCTCCGTGGTTTGGTTAAGATCCGGTATTTGATGTTGAGCTCCAATGCCTGCCACCGAGTTCGGTGCATCTTGTTCTCCATACATTGTACACCATATTGCATTAGCTTCTCCTTGATCTTGAGGTATGCTTCCTTCTCCATGCTCCATTGATGATGTGTATCCAGCGATCTCGTTGAGTTTCCTTATCCAGTACGTGGGTGATACGTTCTGGTGTCCAAGATAATCTTCCCATGTTGGTTCCGGCGTATCCGGTTCTTCAGGTTGGTTTGTGAAGACTTCACTATTGACTTGATCTGCAACGGCTGGATCATTGCTTTCTACGCCAGTGATAATGAACGGGTACACGTAGTCCGTTGGATTATCCTCCGTTGGCATGTACGGGTATACTCCACCTCCCGGTGCAAATACATGCGGCATAGGTATATGCGGTAGAACACTTGGTGGACTATCTCTATCCCCAAGAGTTTGGTGTAGTCTCGCCTGAATTGATCTCTATGACTTGGGTAGATGGCACCACTCTCTCCTCCTCAGGGTAATGTACTGGCCATGTCATGTGTTCGCCATACTCATTCACCATTGTGCTGGGCTGCACGTTGTCTCTTGGCATAAGATGTACGTCCTCGTCCCAATCATTGCTGCTATCATGATCTGTTAGTGTCTGCTGTTCCAAATCCGTCACTACGATCCAGTGCTCCGAATTGCTCGACGGTTCTGAACTCGATGATCCAGACTCAGCTGTCCACACTTGCCCAGTACTAAACCACGACCCCTCATCATCCACAAACCAGTCACTCATGACTTCAAGCTATCACCACAACGCAAACATTAGGGTTCCTATTCAACACAATCTATTCCATGGATGATCCGCATCCATCTATTCTATGGATGATTAACACCCATAGACACTTCAAACGTGGCTTACCACATTGCACAATGTTACCATAACCTCTATACTGACCATGCAACAATCAAACAAGAACATGCATGATCAATTAAAGATTATAAGCAACATCAAACAATGCTTAACCACAACCTAAACATTCTACCTATATGCTGCAGACAGACCAGATTACCTAAGGTAGTTTTTGCGACTCCTTTTCGACTCGATAAAACAGTTTAAAATCCTTGTTCCCGAGCATGATCATGAACCATGCTCTGATACCACCATTTGTAACACCCTCGAACCGTCCTAGGCACAGACGTTCCGAGAAGCGCCACAAAATGTCGATGTTCGCCGAATAGGCCATCCCATACTAAGAACAAATCAGAGCCCAGGTCAACCCGTTCCACGAACTCGACCCTCTTGACCAAAGCCTAAGGCTTGCCAACCCGTACTTCGGTCAGGAGTTGTGTTAGCCCGGACCAAGCTAAAATTATTGGAACATAAGGTCTTTACATAAAACTTTCCTTTATTAAAATATCAGAGTGCTTACAAAATCCGACTTAAAAACATGCGGATCGATCCTTAGTTCCAAACCAAACAACAAACCATTATTTTACAAAAACATACCACAAAACTATTCTGGCGTCTACTGCCTGCAACGGTCCGCTCTACTTCACACCTCTACGGTCACCTGAAAACATTAAACAAAAGGAATGAGTAATCTAATATTACTCAGTGAGTCTAGGACCTCTATACAAGGGGATTCCCTAAACTCCAAACACAAACGCCGCGGGCTTGTAACCCCGCCTGCACCTGCAATGAGGTTAGCACAACACAACATATGCAATCACATGCATTATTGATGCCATAGTCTTAAGACTAACCGTACCCCAATCAACCAAGAACAGGAACGATCAACCCAAGACTATAACAACAATCAAACAATCTATATGCAATACCCATGCAAACCTAGACAAGTATCTAATACTTGTTTTCTATATGCAATAAGGCGCCTAGGTGCATTAGCCACATTCTCTGCCCACGCCTGTGAAGGTTCACGCTCAACCGGAATCACACAGAAACTAGATGAACGCCTTCACCCGGGCACTACAGTCCATCGCGGTACCCGGTTCATCCTTCCATCTATTGGCCTTACTGGCGCACCATGCCAATGTCTGGTTGGATCCCATATCATCATATGGTACCATACTCGGCCAAGGCAGCTGACCAGGTTATCCTCCGAGTCTTCCTCCCTTCATGCAATGTCTGGTTGGATCCCATATCATCATATGGTACCATACTCGGCCAAGGCAGCTGACCAGGTTATCCTCCGAGTCTTCCTCCCTTCATGCCAATCCGGTTGGGCTCTGACGTGCGAGAATGCGCTTGACTACACCTTCCTAGACAACATGTGGTTAGACACGCCACATGTTCTCAGTACTTAGCATATGGGCCTTTACGCACCACTATGCCTCATACCATCGGTTCTGCGGCAGAGCTTCCCTTGCCTCGGAAGAGTACCCACACGAACCTTGAAAGATCTGGCGGCTCAGCCGTCCGTGATCTTTCCACATCGGAGTCATACTCAACATATGGGCCTTACGCACCACCATGTTAGTATGTACTCGAAGTTTAGCGGCATAGCCATGCTATAACCCCACAACCGAAGTCCACCAAACTTCACAGGCGACCATAAAATCACATTTTGGTCGGCAAATCCAAAAGATAGGACGGAGAAATCATCACGGATCATGAGATAGACGACGGAGCTCATTCTGGCCGATGGCGCGCAAGCAATATGGCCGACAAAACCAAATCACGGCATAGGCGCGCCAACCGGTTGGAAAACTCTTCTTTGAGCTTAACTAACACTTTTATGCAGGAAGAAACGAAAAGGAACGAGCCAAACTTCACATGGCCAAGGAAACTCCTTCCCGGAGCCGACTTGACCATTTTGTGAAGGAAGTCTCAATCCGCTCGTACAAATGCTCCCAAACTTCACCAGAGGCATAAAATACCAGGTTGGTCGATGAAATTTCAATATAGGTCATGAAATTTTTGACGGTTTGTTCTGTAGTTCACAGCACCACATTTTGGCCGACCGAATATACCAATCTCGGCCAAAACACAAACCGGCGGAAACCAAGGCCTGAAATTAAAAACTCACCGACCAATATTGCCTAAAGAAGTGTAGAATGACCCAAACCGGAACTGATCTTCATTATAAATTGGTCGACATTTGGTAACATCATCCTAAACCTTTTTCTTTTCAATTTTTCATTTGAACTTCATGTTATGCCTCTCTTAATCCGATTTGATTTCACCGGGACGGTGCAAGTTAAGTCTGGGGGGATTACTAACAATGTTTGTTCATTTTGGCATTTTCATTTGCATTTTTTCCCTTTTATCGAGTCGTTTTTATTGAGTCAAAATTTTTGTCGAGAATCATGACCTTATCTTGGATCTAACCATGGTTGTACTAATGTTTAAGTGACCATTGAGCAGTTCTTGGCAATACATCTTACCACAGGTGCACTATGAGTTGATCGATCTACCAAAAACGCCTACATCTCTAAAGACTTGAGAAGGATCCATCTTTGACTCCGCCCTTAATGAACTTAATCTTCTCAGCTAGGGGCTTGGCATACAAATGGCATGATTCCTCATCCTCTCCATCAAATGAAAAAGTCTTAGTGAGTTCGTGCTTCCCTCTCTCTCCCCTTCAAATTTAAAAGAAAAAGCGTAAGGTCCAAGTAACCGGGGATTCGGTGGCAAACACCATCAATACTCGCGTCTATGGAAGGCCTATGAATCCAAGCAACCGGGGATTCGGTGGCAAACACCATCAATACTCGCGTCTGTGGAAGATCCAAGCAAAACCTCTATAATAAAGAGAAGGAGTTGAATAAAAAAATACTTCGCTACCCTAAAAAAGGGATGAATCAACTCAAAGAAGTGAGAAGAGAGAGAGGAGAAACATGGAGTAAAAGACAAGTGCCAAACAAGGGGATGAGAAAGAATCTAAAGCCGGCTGATCGATACTCCCTAGTTGAGACCACACCTTTAGAAATGAAAGGAGTCAAGGGTGGCGAATTGGATTGTCCAAGGAGAGGTGGACCGCTTTGGGAAAATCGCAAAACTCATGGTATGTACTTTGTTCTTAATTCAAAACTTGCCAATGCTGTTTCATGTGGATTACTAAAGCATAAGTCAATTTGGATTTCCAAAAGATTTGAGAGTTCTCACGTTTTCAAACCTCTTTTCCTGCTTAGTTTGCTTGGGGACAAGCAAAAGGCTAAGTCTGGGGGAGTTGATATCACCATATTTTACATGATTTTACTATATAATTACTATGTTTTCAAACGGTTTTTGCAAGATTCTTTGCCTTTAGAGGTAGTTTTCTTGTATTTGTGGGATTTGAAGTCTTTGTAGGTGAAATAATCAAAAAGGATGCAAAAAGGAGTAAAAGAGCCTAAATCAAGATCCATGCAAGTTTCCAAGTCAAGAAGATCATTTTATCTCCAAGTGTTAGTTCTCGCTTGCGCGCAGAACGAAGCTTCGGAAGTTTGGCCGCGCGCGGAGGAGTTCCCGACGTCCAAAAGTTACGATCTTGATATGGAAAGATAGATACTTGAGTCATGCATCACGTCGAAGTGGAATGAAGCCATTTGGATCAACTATGAGGCCTAGACTTATTTTCTACCGAGACATGTCCGGTAAGCGAGTAAACGAAGCCCATGGAGGATTTGGAGTGTCTAATGGCCCGAGCAGCAGCGCCAAAGGCCTTGATCGAATAGAGAAGAGGCCTGGCTAATGTTTGGAGCTTTCCTTGGTACAATGTCGGCCCATACACGACGTGGAGAAGAAGGCTTTGCTCATGGGAAACTTTCCTTTTCCGGCATGAAGAAAACCCTACGCGACTTCGCCCATATATACATGTTTTTAGCCGCTGAAGAAGAGAGTCGAAAATTATCAAAGAGTGTGTGAGAAGAGAGAGAGAGAGAAGCCCTAGGAGATCGTCCAAGAAGAAGGAGGCGCCGCTCAACTCTTGTTCTTTCTTTTTCATTGTTTCCATTTCTATAAACTTGATCTTAAGAGTTTTCAAGGGAGAATCCGACTTTGTTCATCAATAGAGAAGCTTTCTTCATCCCTTTATCTCTTTTAATACTTGCATAATGTTTACAATCATGCTTTGCTTGCTTGTTTGCATCATGGCCGAGTAGATCTCTTAGTTAGGCCGAGGAGATCTATGGTGGCCGTGATGATTTGATTGTGTTGCAACTTATTGGGATTTATCTTATGGATCTTCACCTTTACTTGAGCTTAATGCATGATTACTCTACCGTACATCTAGTAATCTGATCTTAGAGAAATAGAACCACGACAGTGCTGAATCTAGATCTCAAAACTAGTATTTGGTGAGCAATAGATCATAGCCAACGAAAGCTGAGTTATGGTTTATTGTGAACAATTGAATCTTGATCACCTTTAATGCATGTTTGCAATTCTAATAGCCAACGAAAGCTGAGTATATTAGGTTGTTTTAAACATAGTGGTTGGAGCCACGACAGTGGAAAGACCATACACTAGTGATTCATGTTCAAGACGGCTCTACACACATCCCATGCAACTATCTTTTCATCATTGCTCCATATGATTGTCCTTTGCCTAACTCTTGTTTTAAATTGTTTACAACTCACTCACATTTCTTTTGTTTTGTTTCTCATTCTAGGTCCAAAACCATCCTCATATTGCGAGCTAGCTACAAACCAATCTCACAAGGTGTTAAGCGAGAACACTTCCTCCTCGTGTTCGACCCCGACTACAACACGGCTGTGCACTTGCAGCTCATTAGTTGGGTTTATAAATTGTGAAAATTTGAGGCAATCTAAACCCGCCATCAATAACCGATCCATACAAAGCACAAAAAGGTATGGACACAAAGGATCTCCCTGCCTAAGCCCTCTCTTGGGAGAGAAAGCTTCCGTTCGTTCTCGTTCCACAAAATACTCATGTCGGGATTTGAGATACACTGCATGATCCAAACAATCCAGTCTTCAGGTGACCTTGCTGCTCGTAGTGTATCCTCAAGCTTTCTGCAAGTCTAGTTCTAGGAGCATCCATCCTTTCCTATCCTTCTTGCGCCTCATAGAGTGCACCGCCTCCTGCATCAACACTATGTTGTCTGTACATAGTTTTCCCGGGATGAAACTTGATTGAGCAGGACTGATGATATTCGGCGTAATTCTCTTGAGTCCCATCACCATCGTTTTGGTGATTGTTTTAAACAAAATCTTACACAAGCTGATGGGTCTGATGCGACTCTAGAGTTTGGATATTAAAAATGTGCTTATAAGGTTTCAAGATTTCTATGGAAATTAGTAAAAATATAGAAATAAATATTTTTGTTAAAAGGCTATTAGGTAATTATTTTAAGGCCCAAAATAGCGTTTTACATTATTTTAGATTTTATTTTATAAGGTCTAATGTAATTATTTTAAGGTCTAAAAGTAACAAGATCTAAAATAAAATATAATTATAAAGCACAGTTTTAGATTTTTCTTACTAGTTAACCAAGTGTATTCTTACCCTTAGATTTTTCGTTGGACATGTAAAAATGAATGATCAGCCATTACAAATTGCAAAATATCCACCATAAATTTCACTCAAATAATATGATATTTTAATAAATCTCGAAACAAAACTATTCTACAATATTCTCTCCAAACAATATCAAACCCCCAAATTTTTGTTGATAGCGTAAACTGAAATAACGAACCTTTTTTCCAATCTTAAACAATTATATCGGAAGTTTTTGAAATAAATAGACAATAAATAATAAATCAGGTTCAACAAATAATTCAAATAAATAAATAAATAAATACTAGCAACCTAAACATCAGGTATTAGCAAGTCAAACAATACAATGATTAAAACATCATATCATCCGCTCTTCAGCCTTGATGCCGCGGTCACAAAAATCTTTTACCTGCAACACATTGCAATATATTTGCATAAGTATTTAATAAATACTTAGTGAGGCAATCACCCCGCCTACATGCCATTTACGTAATTACTATCAATTAAATAGTATTGATAATAGGTCTAAATAATTATTAAACTCCATTTCTCAATTATCAAATAACTCTCATAATTAAATAATGATTTTCCATAATTAAAATAATTTATATAATTATTTTAAGCCAATTAATTAACTAAAATAACCATTAATTAATTAAATCCCTAATTAAACTAACCACTTTCGATTAAACCTTTTTAATTCAATTAAATCAATTAACCAGAAACCAAATCGATTTAAACCGGTCTGTATCGAGCGACACCCGCTTGGTGTTTGTCGACACAGACCACTTTGTGTCGACCAACACCAGCTTGGTGTCGCCCAACACATATTCGACAGGCCGATGCCAACTTCAATGAAACTACACATAAACACCAAATCCACACATATATCAACCAAACAACACGAAATATCACTCAATTCACATGAACACAACAAGAACAACTTCAATCAATTCGAATCTAGCAAATCGCGGACCTACAATCAGGAACGAAGGAAGGAGGAAGAAGCAACAAATAACTGCAACAAACAGAAGCATATTCACCCAGATCTCTCCAAAATCGCCTCTCATCTCCTCTTCCCAAAAACACCTCGAAAACAGAGCCTAAAACGCGGCTGCCTTCTTTTAAAATGAGTATAGGGCTTTTTCCTTAAAACCAAACCGGAATCAATTGACTTAAATTGAACTGGGACCAAAATTGAACCAGTGGTGTCGACCGACACCCCCCTTGGTGTCGCTCGACACCCAATTCTCAACTTGAGAATTTGGGCTACGGATGTTACAACTGTCCCCTACTAAATTGGATTCGACCTCGAATCCCAGCACAAAACGTCTCTCAAAGACAAGAAACCCGACCTCACGAGGTCACAACATCGGAGATCCTCACCTGATCCCCTAGACACATCAAATCCTATGTTATAAGCACGTTCCAAGACATTTTCACTCCTAACTCATCATCCACAAAGAACAACCACTTGTACTGGGGCCCACTTGCACCAGACAAGTCCACACCGGTCCGCACTGAGGCCCACTTGCACCCAGACGAACCCGAAATCTGCTTATACTGAGGCCTACTTGCACCCAGATAAGCTACTCAACTGAGGCCTACTTGCACCCAGAGAGTCTGCCAGAGAACGAAGTCTCCAAAAACATGATGAGTTATTCAGGACGCAATCCTTAGAGTAAAATTCCGGAAAGACGTCTATAACAATAAGATTAGACCTCACACGACCAAACTGGTCAAACACATGTAACATCCGAATACCATTTTCAACACACAAGACAAAATGAGGAAAAACTGCATCTCATTAAAACTCCAAAAATGTATATCGTTACAACCCAAACGAAAATACAAGTACAAAGCTCAAAAGATAAAACAACTGGGAACTACAAAAATGAAAGAAGCTCACTCCTCGACCTGCTTGTCGAACCACTTCCTGAACTTCAACTTCATCTTTGCCTCTGGCTCCCAAGTCTCCTCTGTAGAACCACTGCAATCCCACAAAATCCTCAGTAAGGGAATCCTCTTGTTCCTCAGAACCTTTTCCCTCCTCTCTAAAATCCTCAGGCACTGCGGCACTGTCAAATCTGGCTGAAGATCCTCTGGAATCCTAGCCACTAACTCCTCTGTAGGTGAAGACACTTCCTCAGCATCGACACATGAAAAACCTTGTGAAAGGCTTTCATAATCTCAGGCAACTCCAGCCTGTAAGCCAATGGCCCAACTCGCTCCACTACTGGAAACGGACCCATAAACGCGGACTCAGCTTGTTCTCTGCTATGGATCTGTTAGGACCCCTCAACATAGCCATCTTGAGATAAACTCTATCTCCAACCTGAAACTCAAGCTCTCGTCTGCGTCTATCTGCATAACTCTTCTGCCTATCCTGAGCCTCCTTCATGTTCAGCCTCACAACACGAACCTTCTCTGTCGTCTCCTGAACATAAGTAGCTCCATACATGCTGCGCTCCCCCACTTGGGTCCAGCATAGGGGTGTCCTACATGGCCTCCCATACAAAGCCTCAAATGGAGCCATGCCAATACTCGCCTGAAAGCTGTTGTTGTATGCAAACTCAACTAAGCTCAGGTGATCTGCCCAATGGCCACCCCAATCCAACACACACATCCTCAGCAAATCCTCCAAAGTCTGAATAGTCCTCTCTGACTGACCATATGTCTGCGGATGATAAGCTGTACTCAGATGCACCTTAGTGCCCATCTCTGCCTGAAACGCCCTCCAAAACTCTGAAGTGAATCTGGGATCACGGTCTGACACAATACTAGCTGGCACTCCATGCAGCCTCACAATCTCTCGCACAAACTTCCTAGCCAAAACAGCAGCTCCATCTGTCTTCTTGATGGCCAAGAAATGTGCTGACTTAGTCAACCGATCCACAATCACCCAGATGGCATCGAATGTCCGTGAGATTTGCAATCCCAAGACGAAGTTATTCTGCAAAGTTTCCTCAAAACAATACTTGGTTCGCAGATTTTTTGTGATACATGTCAATTGAAGATTTCTATGACGTTTCCTTTTGAGATATTAAATCTTCCGGACTTAGTCTACCATTCCACAATCACCCAGATGGCATCAAATGTCCGTGAGATTTGCAATCCCACGACGAAGTTATTCTGCAAAGTTTCCTCAAAACAATACTTGGTTCGCAAATTTTTTGTGATACATGTCAATCGAAGATTTCTATGACGTTTCCTTTTGAGATATCAAATCTTCCGGAAACCAGTAACGCGTAAACCTTATAGTTTGACAGCTCAGCTTTGTCTAGGGCAGAACGAATCAAAAAGTGATGTTCATATAGGGGCAAAACTTACCTCGATGATTTCCAAAAGCAATTCGAAAATCCATCTCTTCTTTTCAAGAATGCCACTCTAGAGTCCATATATTAAAAATGAGATTATAAGGGTTTTAAGATTTCCATGAAAATTAGTAAAAATATAGAAATATATATTTTTGTTATAAGGCTATTAGAGCACTCGCATTGGTGAGCCTTGGTTTGGTTCTTTAAAACTTAAAGAAAAACAATTTTCAAAAAAAAAAAAGATTTAAAAAGAAAACGACGAATTGTGTGCCAAACGTGGCGAGCTCGTCTTAAAAAAAAACAAGATTTAAATTCATGCCACATCATTTTTTTTCTATTTTTCTTATGAATCAGTGCCCAAGCTGTCCAATGCACCTGCTCTTTAGTAATTAGTTTATAGTCTAAAAAAACATTTTAGATTAATTAATATTTTAGTTTATAAGGCCCAAAGTAATTATTTTAAGGCCCAAATGTAACAAGATCAAAAATATAATATAATTATAAAGCCAAATTCTATATTATTCTTACTTGTCCACCAAAGTATTATTACCCTCAAATTTTTTGTTAGACACGTAAACAACGAATATTCAGCCGTTACAAATTGCAAAATATCCACCATAAATTTCACAGAAAAAAATTGTTCTTTTAATAAATCTCGAAACAAAGCTATTCTGCAAAATTCTCTCCAAACAGTATATAACCCCAAATTGTTTTGTTGAACACATAAACAATGAATATTTAGCCGTTATATTTACTATTTCAAAAGTAATTCAAAAATCTCTCGTCCCCATAAAGTTAAAATAACAAAGAAAAAATTTATAAAATATCTACCTTCAAACTCACTTCAAAAATTTAATTTTTTCAAAATACTTTCAACGAAACTATTCTACAAAGTTTCCTCAAATAAATACTTGATTTGCAAATTTTTTTTTTATTCATGTGAATCGATGATTTCTATGACATTACCTTTTTATCCAAAAACAATTTGAAATCTATCTCTCCTTTTCCAAGAATGCGACTCTAGAGTTTTTATATTAAAAATGTGATTATAAATGTTTTAAGATTTTCATGGAAATTAGTAAAAATATAGAAATAAATATTTTTGTTATAAGACTATTAGGTAATTATTGTAAGGCCCAAAATAGCCTTTTAGATTATTTTAGATTTTATTTTATAAGGCTTAATGTAATTATTTTAAGGTCTAAAAGTAACAAGATCTAAAATAAAATATAATTATAAAGTTTGAATATTTTAGATTATTCTTACTAGTCAATCAAGTTTATTATTACATTACTAGATTATTTTATTAAGGCCCTAAATAGTCTTTTAGATTATTTTAGATTTTTATTTTATAAGGCTCGATGTAATTATTTTAAGGCCTAAAAGTAACAAGATCTAAAATAAAATATAATTATAAAGCCCAATTCTAGATTATTCGTACTTGTCCACCAAGTGTATTCTTACCCTCAAAATTTTCATTGGACACGTAAACAGTGAATGTTCAGCCGTTACAAATTGCAAAATATCCACCATAAATTTCACACAAAAATATGATCTTTTAATAATTCATGCCAAATCATTTTTTCTATTTTTTCTCTTTTTGTTTCCTAAGAATCTGTGTCCATGTCCAATGCACATGTTCTTAAGTAATTATTTTACGGTCCAAAATAACCTTTTAGATTAATTTAGATTTTATTTTATAATGCCCAATATAATTATCTTAAAGTCCAAATGTAACAAGATCTCAAATATAATATAATTATAAAGCCCAATTCTATATTATTCTTACTTGTCCACCAAATGTATTCTTACCCTCAATTTTTTCGTTAGACACGTAAACAGTGAATATTCAGCCGGTACAAATTGCAAAATATCCACCATACATTTCACACAAAAATATGATCTTTTAATAATTATTGAAACAAAGCTATTCTGCAAAATTCTCACCAAACAATATCTAACCCCCAAATTTTTTGTTGAACACGTAATGATTTAATGTTTAGCCGTTATATTTTTTCTTTCAAAAGTAATTGCGTAAATGGCTTGTAGGCACGGTGATTGCCTCACTAAATATTTACGATAATATTTAGGCATCTCTTTCGCAATGTGATGCATGTAAAAGATTTGTGTGATCGCGGAATCAAGGCTGGAGAGGGGATGATAGGATGTTTACTGTTTTATTGTTTTGCATTGTTTGACTTGCTAGTATCTGGTGTTTAGGTTGCTAGTATTTCTTTATTATTTATTTGAATTATTTGTTGAACCTGATTTATTATTGAATGATTATTTATTTTAAGACATCCGCTAGAATTGTTTAGGATTTATTTAATTATATATAAAAAAATTGGTTGTTTCATTTTGATATCAAGGTCTAGACAGTTTTAGGACTCTTAGGTTAATAGAGTAGGTTAATCCGTGGAGACTTCTGGCGGATCCGGGAGAGAGTGTGGCGCCGAGTGTGGCGACTGCGTCGGTGATCCAGTCGGCATCCATGGCGAGTGAGGCCAGTGTGGATGCCATTGTTAGTTTGGGAACGGGGGCTGTTCCAGGTGGGGGCGGTGAAGCGGGCAGTTATAGTTAAGAGCGTTATTAAGTGGTTTGTGCGATTGGCATATCAGTTGAAAACGGATGCGTTTGCGGAATATTAATGAATGTTTGACTTGAGGGTGCAATAACGGTTAAACAATAAATTAACAATATAAATATATTATATAATTATAAAAAATTCCAAAATATATTATATTGAACATCTATAAAATTATAGTCATATAATTGATAATAAAAATAATATGTGTAGAGTATTATATGAAATAATTAATAGTTTCACATTATTTTTTAATTTCTATAATTTGGATGAAATAAATGATTTTCATTAAAAACAAAAAACTCTAATGTGAAAATTAGGTTTATATTATAATTTTATTTGTTAGATATATATGTATTAGTATGAAGAGAACATTTATATAGAGAATTTTGATTTATATAACATAGATAATCATAAAATTATGATATATTTTTAATAAATATTAACTAATAAATGCCAATTTATTTATTTCTACTGTAAATATAATAACCAAATATATATACATATGCTGATTTGAGATAAATTAATTTTTTTCTTAAAGAAAAATTCCATCCGCAATCGCCAGCAACCGCAAACGCTGCTAGAAATGGGTTTTTGATTATGCAACCACAGCGGTAGAAAACGTTTTATTTAATTTTTGTCAAAAGGTAATAACCGCTACCACCCACGAATAATGTGTTGGTGGGTGACAAGGGTGAAGGCCTGACTGCTTAAACCGCTGCGGTTGCGGTTGCGCGAATTTGCTGAAGCGGGTGGTTGCAATTAAGAGTGTTATTAAGCGGTTTGTACGATTGATGTATCGGTTGAAAACGGATGCGTTTGTGGAAACTTTATGACTGTTTGACTTGAGGTGGTTTAAACAATTAATTAATAATATAAATATATTATATAGTTATAGAAATTTCCAAATTATATTATGTTGAACATTTATAAAAGTATAGTTTCATATAATTGATAATAAAAAGTTATAAAAAAAAATAATATGGGTAGAGTATTATATGAAATAATTAATAGTTTCTCATTATTTTTTAATTTCTATAATTTGGATAAAGATATGATTTCCATTAAGAAAAAAAATTAATGTGAAAATTAAGTATTAGATATATATGTATTAGTATGAAGAGAACATCTATAAAGAGAATTTTGATTTATAACACTTAGATATTTATAAAATTATGATATGTTTTCAATAAATATTAAAAATGCCAATTTATTTATTTCTGTTGTAAATGTAATAACCAAATATATATTTTTAATAACATATATATATGCTGATTTAAGATAAATTAATATATATATATTTTCTAAGAATTCCACCCGCAACCGCTGATCGCGGGATCAAGTTCTATTTCCTATCTCTGATTCTGCAAGTGCACAGGTCAAAAGTAGTAAACGGATATCGAACACAATGATCAAATTGCACACTATAAACTATGAGTTTGAGATCGAGCTAGGGCAAAACAATATGATGTTGATAAATTGTAGTGAAAGCAAACAAATAAAAGCATGCAAGTAAGTAAAGAGATTGAATTCAATAAAAGAAAGCAGCTAAGCAATAGGATATTCTCTAGATAAGTAATTCAAAAAGCAAGATCCGATTGATTAGGGTTATTGATAATGGGAACCATCTAGAACTCAAAACACTAAGATATGATCTTTCCACTGTCGTGGCTCTGGCCCCTTTGTTAATATATCTAATTGCTAAACTTTTGGTATGTTCCTAGATGATTAAATCAAGTATTAATTCGAATGAGTTTCAATTGTTCACAATCTACAAGTAAATCAACTTTCGCAGTCTAAAAGAGATTGCCCACCAAATACTAGTTCACACGAATGATTCAACACTTTCGTGGCTCAAGTCTACCTATGATCATATGTTAATTGGCCCGATCAACAACAAGCTTTGCACACAAGTAAAGGTGAAGAGTTTATGTAAAACCCTAATTCATAGTAATCGATTATCAAGCAAACATGAATACTATCCTTTCAGTTCCTATCACTTAACAAGTAAACTACTCAAACATAGAGAAGGAAATCGAATTCATGTTTATAAGAACAGAGATCCGAAATCATCTCTTGTAAGAGAACAAGCAAAACCAAAGTAAAGCAAAAAACAAGCAAAAACTTTATTAAATATGTAATGTAAATTGTGGTCTCTATCCTCCTTGAGTTACAAGGCTAAAAAGATGTATTTATAATGCTCTAAGTATTGAAGAGCGGCTAGACATAGGTCTATAAAGTCGGCCAAGTAATTGGGCTTTAAAACTTGTAAAACAAGCTTCAAAATCAGCTTCGGGTCGACTGGACCGTTCGGACGGTCGGTCGGGACGTTCGTCCGAGAGTCGGGTTGTGATCGGCCATCGGTATGATCTGGTCGATCATGGCCGAGAGATTTCTCATTCGGTCGTAAGGTTCGGCCGGGCGGATAAATTTGGTTGAACGTTCTGGCAGGACGCCGGACGATGCCTTCCTGGTTGGACGGTGCGATCGTGCGTGGTACACGGATCATGGTAAGCGAGAAGTTCGAATGCGGGACGATGCTTCCCAGTTCGGACGAGGTGGTCGTGCCCGACACATAGTCGTGGGACTGGAATGGGTCGACCGTGGGCGGATGCTTTTCGATATGTGCACTCGGCCATACACACATGAGGGACTGATATGACTACGGCTGAGGTCATGGACAAGGAGCAGGAAGGACAGCATGAACCAGAGGAAGGAAAACTTGTAGCAGAGGAGCAACTTGAGGCAGAGGAAGCTTTGGCCGGACCAATGGGTCTAATGACGCGATCTCGAACTAAGTTACTCAACCAGGCCATTGGTTTGATACTTAGACATTTGGGCCAGGACAAGAATGAGGTTATCCCAACCACTTTAGTCGTGGTAACAGCCCAAGACATTCAGTAAAGGGACAAGTGATGCTTTTGCACTCTTTTTCCCTTCTAAGGTTTTGTCCCAACGGGTTTTCCTTAGAAGGTTTTTAATGAGGCTTAAGTATCACTTTCAGATCCTCCTTTTACTGGATCAAGACCCAAGCCCATCATGTTTGAGAGTCCAGGCGTGGCTTTGAAGTTCAAGGGTCATTTTATGTTCAAACTTTGTTTTAATTCTGTTTTCATTTTCAAGACTGTCTTGGAGCTTGTTCCAAGACTAGTATCTTCTTCCCCTTCCCTTCACTTTATATTCTCTTGTACTCTCATTCCTGAAACTCATCTTTCATTTTTATCAAAACCTTTTTAAGCAAAGATCAAATCTCGTTGGTGAAATCCTTATTCTCTTTTAGGTGTGTAATATCCTTGAAGGGTTTAAGCTGGTGTATAGAGATTTTTCTACAAGTCTCTGTTCAAACCATTCAACCATTTATCTCACTCCATCATCAGGGCTTTAACAAGCCAAATCTATCCAAGTCTCAACCTCAAGAGTGCCGGTTTTAGGAGAATCTCATCACGGACGAACGTGGCATTCTTCGCAGGTCAATCGTGGGACGATAGTTCTTCGGTCTGCCGGTACGCTCGGTCTGGACGCATTCATAATGTTGTTGCGGTTTCGGCTGTCTGAATCAATCTTCACTAAAATGATCATAACTCCGTTTCTACTCATTCAAACGATGTGAATCCATTTGCGTTGGAAAGTTAACACACTCAGGGCACGCAGCGAAGTGGTTTTGATGAAATCCATTGAGTAGATTATTTTAAAGTCTTCCCAAAGTAGATGATGTGGTAATGGAACTGGTTTGAAGACATTTTCCTGTGTTTTACTTTATAATGCATCTTTTGACCTAAAATGATTCTTCGCACTATAACTTCATAAAAATTACCTTTTAAGACAAGAATCTACTAGAAAACCGTGTATAAAGTATAGAAAAACCATATAAAAAACGTGTAAAATAGATGTATATCAACCGCCAAAAACCGCAAACGCAGCTGGAAATGAGCTTTTGATTATGAGGAATCTGGAGCGTTTTTGCGCTTTGAAGCGTTAGAAAAGTTTTCCATGTTGTTGTCAAATGCTAGTAACCACTACTACCTGCAAGATACTAGGATAATATATATATATATATATATATATATATATATATATATATAATATATCTCCAAATTTAAATTTCAATAATTTAATTAATAAATAAATTTAAATAAGAAAAATAAATTAAAAGAGAGAATCTTATTATATAAAGCTGGATGCGCACAACGTGGTTGCGACATGTAGGATTTTTATAAAATATAGGATTGCGACATGTGTCACTTTTAATACTACGTTAAGATCGTGACACATGTCTTGGGAAAGGAAAAAAAATTAAAGGGAAAATTTTAATCTTTTATAATAAAAACGAAAATTTATATAATAAATTAAAAATAATGTAATAAAAATACCTATTAGTACATGGTATAGGTATGTAAACTAAATATTCTAAAACTGTATGGAATATGTTACATAAACCCATATTTCAAAAAATCATATTTTTTTTTTGTAGAATAGGTATGTAAACTAAATATCATAAAACTGTATGAAATTGGTTACATGAACCCCCTATAAAAAGAGAGCTATTGTATTCTCTTTTTCTCATTCACAAACTCATCAAAGCAAATTCAGCAAATCTCTTTGATTCTTTTTCTCTAATTTTAAAATCATGTCTTTGAAAGTTCAAGAGAACAGTGGAGATTATTTGACTCTAGGTCAATTGGATCGAAATCGAAATTATCACCGTACTATAGTACGTGTTATTCGAAGTGGGAAGCTAGAAATCATAAAGAAAATAATATTCTTATGGGAGTTGAGCTTCTTTTACTTGATGAAAAGGTTAGTAACATCTTATTATAACATTGATTAACATTAAAGTTTTACACAGTAAAAACAATTCAAGTTTTAGTAACATATTATATTGATATATATCTTATTAAGAAAAGAGGAAAAAAACTCTCATTAAGAAAAGAAAAAAAACGAAAAAAAAAAAAAAAAAAAATTGTTACATCCATTACGAAAAGGAAAAGTAAAACATATTTCAAATATGAAAAGGAAAAAATAATAATATATAGTAAGTTATAGCCTTCATGATTTAATTGTGTGATTCTATCTTTTGTTTAAACTTCTCTCTCATTAAGAAATAAATATAATGTATTTGAAAGTTCATGATATCAATGAAGAATATTTAACTCTAGATCAGTTGGATCCAAATCAAAATTATTGTTGCTACTTGTGTCTAATATTTTGAAAACAAGTGTTAACACAAGAAAATTGGAAAAATGTATAAAATAAATAAAAAAAAACTAACAAAATAATTAGAAAACAACTAACTAATAATGGAAAGGAAATTTTATAATGGCCTGAGTCAAAAACAAAACTGAAAAAACAATATAAATAGAAAATTAATAAAATAATTATCGAGCAACTAACTAATATTAAACTGATATTCTAATTTTAATAGTTTATTTTTTTTGTTAGGTAAAAAAATATTAAAAAAAACATTTCATCAACCGAAATCTCTTCAATGAAATAATAAAATTTTCACGAATTAATCAATCAATCAGACTTACACATGTGTAAGTCTTTCAATTTTAGATAAAAGTAAAGATAACAAATTAATTCATTTTTCGTATCATGAATTCAGAAAATATGTCAATTATAATAAAAATGTAAAAATATTACCAATATAATATTATTTAGAGGTCTTTTATCGGGGTTTTAATATTAATCTACTTACTTTTAAAGTGTCAAATTTATTTAATATTTTCTATGATTTATTTCAAAAATTGTATAATAAACCCGGGTATACGCGGGGCCTAATCTAGTACATGATATTAGAACAAAGCTGATTACCGCATATAGTTAACACCCACTAATGATCAACAACAACAAGTTTTTTTTGGATGATGACGTCCTAAATCATAAATTGGCTAATTTTTATTTTTAAAAGATGATTTCTCTTTCAATTATGTTATTTCCTAAATTAATTTTTGTTGATGAATGACATTATAAATAATAAACGCCAACAATCGCAACCCCACCCCTTCACAAAAGCTGTGTTTGCGGGTGGTTGCGATAGGGGGTGACTGGTTCACCGTTGCAATCCGCAACGCAGTTTTGGCGGAAGGTAGAGGTTGTTGGCGTTTGACAACAATCACCGAAAAACGCTTTCTACCCCTTGAAAACGTTCAAAACCGCTCCAGAACCCTCAAAATCAAAAACTCATTTCCAGCAGCGTTTCCGGTTGCTGGTGATTACGGGTGGAATTTTCTTTTTTAGTTATTTAAAATTAGCATATATGTAGATTATTAAAAAATTGAGATTTTTATATTATATTTTAAATATAAATAAATAAATTTGACATTTTTAGTAAATATTCACTAAAAATATATCACAACTTATATATATATATATATATATATATTAAATCAAAATTCTCTTCTTAAATGCTCTTCATACTAGTATATATATCTAATAAATGAAATTATAACATAAACTTAGTATTCACACTAAATATATTTTTTTATTAAAAATCACATTTTTCATCCAAATTATAGAAATTAAAAGATAAATGTAAGCATTATACACATATTATTTTCTTATAAATTTTTAGTATTAGTTATATTGAACTATAATTTTATAATTGTTTAATATAATAATTTTGATATTTTTATAATTATATAATGTGTTTATATTGTTAATTTATTGTTTAACCGCTATTTAACCAGTCATAAGTGTTTCGCAAACATATCCGTTTTCAACCGCTATACCAGTCGTACAAACCGCTTGATAAAGCTCCTAGCTGCAACCGTGCGCTACAGCAAATTCCTATAACCGCAACCGCATCGTTTACACTAATCAGGTCCTTAGTACTATAAATCCATAAAAACTATATTTTTAGATTGAAAACCTATTAAAAACCATATGAAAAACATATTAAAATCATGCAAAAGCTTGTAAAATAGATATATATCAGTAGTGTATCGACTAGTGTCATCGACGTTTTATGCATTTCCAATTATATTCAAATCTGTATAATATATATTGCTACCAAAATTAATATTTGAATTGATTGAATAATGGAATTTTTACTATGAACTGAAAAATACAAAACATAAATTACATTTTTCAAATGGTAATGGCGCGGTTACGACTTTGTAGGGTCACACTATGCCTGAGTTTTTTACCCGAAAGCCGAAAGAACCCAGGAAAAAAAAAAAAAAAAAAAAAAAAAAAAAACTTAATAAAATCCCAAAAACCCCGAAAAAAAACCGAACCGAGACTTTAAAAAACCCGAACAGTTTCTATATCTCTAAACCCAAAAATCCAAAAAACCTGACCCGAACATAACCTAACCGGAACCCACGCCTAGGTCACGCAAATAAAGAAAAATAATAATAAGAAAGGAAATAAAATCATGGAAAGAAATGGGAAATAAATATCTGCAGAGCCTCCAGGCCAGTAAGCCGGTACCATACGACCAAATACAACTTACTCCTTTTGTCCCATATTATAAGCTGTTTTGGCATAATGTATCTGCAATTTTCTGGATGTATTTGGAGATACATTATGCCAAAACAGCTTATAATATGGGAGGGAGTATCTTATAAGCCATACATACGTATTAGATACACTACTCTGCTCTCTACATTACTCATTCGAAATTCAGTGGACCTTTCTCTTTAAATCTCCAGCTCTGCATAGACCTATCACAATCAGACTCTTTTTCTTGTCAAGAAAATGAACAAACCATCTTCACTTTGTTTGGTAGATATACTTATACTCATAGAGATGCTCCTAATGACCTCGATGTGTCAAGCTGTGGCCTGGGTAACAACATCCACCCTCTGATTCTAGTCCCAGGAAACGGAGGTAATCAGATAGAGGTAAGACTTGACCAACATTACAAGCCAAAGAGCGTCTGGTGTAGCAGCTGGTTATGCCCGATCCGCAAGAAGAGTGGTGAATGGTTCAGGCTATGGTTCGATCCATCAGTGCTATTGTCTCCCTTCACCAAGTGCTTCAACAAGCGAATGATATTGTACTATGACGCCGATTTGGATGATTATCAAAACGCTCCACCTGTACACACCCGGGTTTGCAATTTCGGTTCTACCAAATCCCTTCTCTACCTCAACCCTCTTCTCCGGTTAGTAGTACTGTACCTTCCAACATTTCTTGTTACTCGTTTGCGTTTTCTGACATTAATGAAAGAAAAGGGCTTTTAATTTCTCGAGGGGATTCACAATCAAGGAGAAAATCGATATTAAGCTAATAAAACCAGAACAAAAAAAACGGAAACAGAATCAAACCGTAAACTGTATTTTCCATCCTAAGTGAAGCTAGAAGGTTGTAGCTTGATATAATCTTGCAAGAATGTGATAAGAATATATTTTTATGGTTTATGCATCAAATACTTAGAGTAAAGATCTTCAATATGTAAATGTAGCTTAACAATAAGGTGTGACTTGCTGCAGAGATGCCACATCGTACATGTCACATTTGGTGAAAGCTCTAGAGAAAGACAGCGAGTATGTTAACGACCAAACCATCCTGGGAGCTCCATATGACTTCAGGTACGGCTTGGCTGCGTCGGGCCACCCTACTCGTGTAGCCTCACAATACCTACAAAGACCTCAAAAATTTGGTGGAGAAAACGAGCAGCAAGAACGAAGGAAAGCCAGTGATACTCCTCTCCCATAGCCTAGGAGGCCTTTTCGTTCTCCATTTCATCAACCGTACCACCCCTTCCTGGCGCCGCAAGTACATCAAACACTTTGTCGCACTCGCTGCGCCGTGGGGCGGTACCGTTGAGAAGATGAAGACATTTGCTTCTGGAAACACACTCGGTGTTCCTTTTGTTAACCCTTTGCTTGTCATGCCGCAACAGAGGCGATCCGAGAGTAACCAATGGTTACTTCCATCTACCACCGATTGTTGTTACTCCCTGGGGTAACTACACAGCTTACGAGATGGTAAGTTTCTTGAAGACATTGGGTTCTCTGAAGGTGTAGTCCCTAATTACAAGACAAGAGTGTTGCCTTTAACAGTGGAAGTTGTGACTCCTGGAGTGCCGGTCACTTGTATATACGGGAAAGGGTTTGATACTCCGGAGGTTTTGGTGTATGGAGAAGGAGGATTTGATGAGCAACCAGAGATTAAGTATGGAGATGGAGACGGAACTGTTAATTTGGCGAGCTTAAAAGCTTTGGAGTTGATTCACAGAGTTGAGAGCTTGACAACTGTAGAGATTGGTGGAGTCTCGCATACCTCTATACTTAAAGATGAGATCGCACTTAAAGAGATTGTGAAGCAGATTTCGATTATTAATGAAAAGAGAGCAGTCTAAACTCTAAAGTGGTAATGATCCTCTCTCATTCAACAATTAAAACAAATATGTAATACTTTCTTATCAAAGTAGACAAAACGAAACTAAAACGCTTCCACAAACATAATCACAAAGATGAAATAATGTATTCACATTTTATATAATAAGATAGTTATAAATAATACCACATGTTAACGAAGAGCTGAGGAAGTCATGAGCTCAGAATCAATAAGAGTCTTGAGGGATTTAGTTTTTCTTCTTGAAACCTTGCCAGATTCTTTCAAGAGTTGGACCAACCTCTTCTTCTCGTCTTCTGTTCCAGAACTCGCTGCTGTCCCGAGCTTTTCCTCCCGAACCCCAACCACATGTCCTAGCAGCGCGATCGCATCATCCAACCTAAAATCACAACCAAACCACATCATGTTCAAGATCCTCAATAGGAGAGGATGTCACCAAAAAAAAAAAAAAAAAAAAGAAGAAAGTAACACAAGTACCTGCCAATAGCATCATAAGCTCCTGCAAGGTTGCTGTAGACTCCAAGTGTTTCCGGGTGAAATGGACCACACTCTTGTTCTAAAATACACTTGGCTTCTTCAAACAACTCAACAGCCTCTTCTATTGCATCTAGCTGAATGCAAGCTAAACCCATTTGGTTAAGCGCAATCCCGAAAAACGTCGATTGTTTCTTTCCGGTGGCCCGTAGTTTCGAGACAGCGCTCTTGAACGTGTTGTATGACTCAATGTATTGCCCCATCATATAGTACAAGACTCCCATTTGAGCTTCAATGCCAGCAATCATGATTTTCTGACCAGGTGAGTCGGCGTATATCTTCAGGGCCTTTTGCAGCAAGGTTATCGCTTGTTCCACCTCGTTCATCGACTCGAAGATCACTGAGATATCCGTAAGACCACTTGCAATCTCTTCAGGAGAGATCTCCAAGTTATGTGACTCATATATCCGAAGAGCATTCTCACAATAAGCCTTTGCCTCTCTCACTTTCCCTGTTCGGTTATAGAGATCAGCTAGACGGATGTAAACCGAACCAACAGCTGGATGGTTCTCTCCCTTTGCTGTCTTCAGTGCCGTGAGAGATTTCTGATACGCACAGATCGCTTCATCATACCGAGACAAAGACAAGTAGGAGTCACCAATGCTGGTGTCAACAAAAGCAACCTCGGACTCCTGTCCATTTGCCGCCATGGCCATACTAGCTAACACCAAATGCTCGAGAGCATTCTCATGATCTCCCTTAGTCTCACAGATAAGTCCCATGAGTCTCCTATCCGCTGCCTCTGCGATTGAAGCTGGCAAACCGTTTTCTCTATGTATAGAGAGAGCCGTCTCGCAGACCTCCTGAGCCTCATCAAACCGTAATGCTTGCACAAGAGCCTCGGCTAAATATCTGCACGTTTCACCAACTCTTGGATCATTCTCTCCCAAAACCTTCTTCTGGATTTGCAATCCTTCAGTGTAACACGACACCGCGTTCTCTAGCTGCCCCACCATAGCATAAGTGTCACCTAACTGCATCAAGCCAGCAAATTTGGCAAGTGCATGCTCTTCACCTTCTTCGGGAACTGGAATCTCAACGGAGCGCTGCAGAACAGGAATCGCCTCCTTGTGCTCCTTTAACTTACAGTGGATTGCTGCAGTAACATGCAAACACATGATCCATTCCAAACAAGGCTTCCCGTTATCCGCAGAAGCCTCGAACAACTTAGCTGCTCGGAGAGATAACTCGAGAGCTTTGTTGATATTATCGCCAGAACTTACCAAGTTCCTCGCTTGGTTCAGTAAGAAACGTGCCAGCTCTACATTTTCAGATGATGGTTGCTCTTCGTTTCCGTTTTGTAACTTGGTTCCGGCTTTCTTCTTCCTCGTGGCGGTACCACCAAGTCCCAAGCTCGATCTGTTCGCATTCTTCTTACCAGCTTGTTTCTCGGTATCCTTTGAAGAGCTTGACTTTCTACTACTACTTCCTGTTCCTGGTCTCACCACATCAAATTCTTGTGGCTTTTCCACTTGGTCTTCTTCCTCTTCCGTTGTTATATCGAAATCTCGCGTCTCTCCTAAAGCAAGATGTTGTAGATCAGAATCAATCTTGGACTCGTCACCGTACGATCCAAAGCTCTGCCTTGATGGTGACTGGTTAGTGGAACTCTGCAATTCGCAGAGATTCTTACAGAGCTCCTCTATCGTTGTGTCGAACGCTTCATCTGCATTTGATTGTTCTTTGGAATTGCCATTTAAGTTGTTAACAGACCCTCCTTCCATTTATTTCCTCCAAATATTACAGCTCTCTCTCTCTCTGCACATGAAAACAGACACAATTCATAAACATGAATCATCCATGGAGGAGATAAAGAACTCAAATCGGATGTGCAATTCTTGTCGAAAAAATGCGAATTTAAGGCTCTTAAGTTTGGAAAATTAAAAAAACAAAAAAACAAAAAAAATTGCATAAAGAAACATATATTCAATCGGATATTCCTGGAACAATACGAATATCAAAGAAAGCATTGAAGCTCGTATATCAAAATTTCAGAACTTCATTGCGACATATTAGCAGCCATTGTAGGACAAACAAGTTACAAGAGGCAATACCTTGTTTTCAGAGATTATATTGGAAAAGAAAAACAAAATCCAAAGGGGACAAAGAGAGAAGAAACATACAAACAAATTTCTAACCTGTTGGGATTTCTGTCGGAGTCGGAATCCTCGGAAGGAGACAAGAAGAAAATGGAAATCTGAGAGGAGGGGAGGGTAAATGTAGAATTGAAAAGAGTCAAGAAATGGGTCGAAGGTGAGAGTTGAAATTTCAATTTTTTTCGGTGGAATGTCAAAGTGGGAGGAGCGGGAAGAGAGAGAAAGAAAAAAAGGTTATTATTATTCTCTCTCTCTCTTAATGCCCCGCCATGCTTCTTTCTTCTCTATTGCGCTGTCATTTTACTTCTCACCAAAAAAACTGCATTTATGTTGGTACTTTTTTACTTCAAATATCAAATCACCACGCCAGTTCAGCTAAATTTGGAGAAACTGAATTTTAGGGGTAAAATAAACATGTAAAGTTTTACGTTATAACTTACTCAATCAATTCGGATTTCTCTTTCAATCGATTTTCTGTTTCTGCTTGAAATTAGTTACTTTGTACTTTTCTAAAACCAAAATATCTTTAAGAAAACCAGAAAACTACATTCGTCCTATTGGTAAAAACAAAAACAAAAAAAAAACAAAAAGATCTTCACATTCTAAACACTCGCAGTGATGTATTGCTTTAATATTGGTAAGGTAAGTGTGCAAGTGTATGAAACAAAGCCAAGGCAAAATATAGTTACAATGAAACTACGGATTATTGGTCACTAAGGCATTGTTCACTCAGGTAGTCTCAGACGGTTGAAAATGACCAAGAAACTCTTCTCAGGACCAAAATATAGAAATCCAAGATCCGCACCCGTCACATATGGTCCCATTCCCTGTTCACACAAAAAAACCAATTAACCTTGGAGACAAACAAAATGATGCTTGGCTCTGTTGTGTTTCTATATAATACAATTACCTTTCCATTGAGTTTTAAAAGCTGCCCTCCGACCCATTTTGGGTTTTTAAACCCAAAGTCTGCGATCCTTCCTTCTCCTACGTAACTCGAAAGCTGCACATATTTATATTAGCTGTCAACATGCTATTGCTTCAATAGGAAATTAAAGATTATGTGTTTTCCTTTTTTGGCCCTAGTTCCGGTTATGTGTTTAGCTTAAGCATCGTTTTGGATCCTCTATGGATTTACATGTCTGAGTATGCTTTTGCTTTGGGTCAGTTTCTGTACTTCTCATAAAAACAAAGCTAAGGAGATGAGGAAAGTGTCATTACCACTCCCATTTCCTCTGGGTACATTCTATGATCTCTCATGCGACTCCCTTTCCCAATCTTTGCACGAAATGTCACCTACCAAGTATTTGTGATCCTATCTTTCATTTCTCCATTCCATAAAAAAAAAAAAATAGTCATAATTTGAAGTATAAAAAAGGTAAAAATAAACCTGGCCAGCCGGCACATTTGGATCCCCTGTCAACTTCACAGCCTCAACATATTCAAAGAACTCCGTATCTGACGACTTACTTCCCTCTGCATCATCCCACCGACCATACTTACGCTTAAGTTGCACTACCTCTGTGCCATAAGGTCCGAACGCACCGACATACAGGCCTGCGCTTCAAATTCATAACATGTCCCAAGTTGAGTTGTGCAAACACATTCTGAGCTCATATTAGAAGGAAGAGAGAGTAACGCTGATTGATAACATGCTTACCCTCAAAAGGGTCCAGGTCGCTTTCAGGAGCTATGATTCTATTAAATGATGTATACTCAGAGAGCCGGTTTCCTCTTTGTGCCTGATTTATAGCAAGCTTGACAATCTCTCGCACATTTCTTGATACCTAGAACAATCATTGTAGATCTTTATATGAAACTGTAAATCGTAGAACTTTCCTATACGTATTTTAAAACTGTCACACAGTTCTGAGAGCAGAATCCATTCATGGCAAGCAGATATATACATCACACTAGAATGCTACTTATGTCAAAAGGCTGCTAAAAAACACAAACTGCTTAATCTGATTATGAAGAGCGGTGTAGAGTCAAGCTTTTTACCTTCAAAGGAGCTTTCTCGAGACCCCAGAAAGCCTCAGCAACCTCTGGTGGCATCAGATCTGAAATTCTTTGAGCGGCGACTTGTTCCTTGGATACTGTGTTCTTTCTTGTATCAATACCTTTCTTACTTCTCCCAGGAACATGCAAGATAAAGGAATCTCTTTCAGTATCCGTTATATATGCCGAAACACGGACAAGCTCATCTTCGATAGAGGAATCCTCTGTGTCATGTAGAACCCCTCCGAACAAAAGTTTAGTGTTGAAATGCTTTCCATGATCTGCAATTTCTTCAATACTGTCGTCTTCTCCTTCATCAGCAGAATTAGTTTCATCAAGGCCTTCTCCAACCAGCTCTTCGTTAGCATCATCACTGCCTACAATCTCCTCATCGGGGATTATAACATCCATTTTCATTTTTAACCCCGGGATTTTATCTTTTAGAAATTCTATCACGTTTTTAATCCCTTCTTCAGTTGGTTCCTGAGGATTTAGTAGTTGTACCCTATCTTCTTTTTTATCCACCTGCACTTCACTTCCTCGTACATCTTGAATGGATGGGTTCTCAATTGAGGTATTGGATGGTTGCTGTGCTCTTAAATCAGACTTCTCGGAATCGGATGGTTTTTGCTTGACATGTTCCAAATACACCACCTGAACAAATGCATATATATTTACATTACTTCAGAGAAGGAGAAAAAGAAAAAACTCAAGGGTGGTTACAGTATAATTATGTAACACTAATCTTAATACAAGGAACAGGGTATATGATTTACTGTCACCTAAATTTAATTTTACAAATGTGATTGCTTTATTTACCTGCATAACATATCCTCCGCCATTGTCTTTAACAATGAAAATCTCAAACAGAGGTGTTCCAGCTGCTGCAGTCACCAGCTGTCTGTATGAAGCAGTAATGAGACTCAGTTACCACCGGCAAATGAAAACAAAAAAAAGGAAGTGAAATTATCTGCAGAACCTGCTCTGACCTTGGACTGTAACTCTTGCCGATAAACCTACCAACACCTGGCTCAATGCGTAAAATTCTACCAAATGGTTCATCAGAATCTTGAGGATAACCAACCCACCAGCCCACCTACATTTACATTAGAAACGTGATAATGCTTTTAAATTCTAAGCCAAATCAAGTCCAGATAAAATCATAGATTGTTGACTGAAGATTTGAGGATTAGTATGAAGAAATTCTAAGCAAATTGACTTGGTGAGACCATCACTTAAGTCAGGAAACATATATTAATTAAACTAACCTTGACTACCTTAATAGTTTATCGACATGAAACAATTTTTTGTATCCCTTATAAAGCTTAAGAGCTCTTCTACTGTTCGCCTTATTTACTTGAACACTCATTACATTTGCATTAAGACGTTTAAGGAACTTAAAAACTGCCTTTCAACACTTAAAAATGTATGTGATTAAGGACTATCTTACAAGCTTAACAAGAAAGAGGCAAAATAAAATTACCAATCCACTTCCTCTCTGGCTACATATTCTAGAAGCATCATGGTAACGCTCTTCGCGTATTGCAGTCTGCAAGGAAGCTATCACATAATGAGTAAAGAAGATAACATAAAGAGCTTGACTTGACTGCTATCACACATATCTTCTTAACCTGTAACTGGCACATGATCTCAGCCACATGATCATTCACAGTGGCTTCTCTAATAGCTTTCTTCAACTTCGCTGCTTCTTCAAAGTCTTCACTTTCAATGGCCTCTTCAAGTTGAAACTGTTACATAAGCTAGAAGACTCAAATATTAGAAATTTATAATAGTTAGTGAGTGAAAAGGGATCATTCAAAAGGCCGAGTTTAGATGGATAGGACCTTGAGAAGAGAAACTGCGCTTTCGATTTCTTCAATCTCGGAGAAGTGGCGATTCCAACGATTCCAATCCCACTTCTCCTCACACGAACTGGTCTCAGGGCCATCGACAGCGGCGCAGTTGCGCAGACAGATCAGAGATGGCTTTTTGAGGTTCCGGGTTGTTATAGGAGAAGCGAAGGAATGTGATTGGCTGACAGATACGCAGAAATTCGCGCGTTTACTGGTCGCCGCGAGCTCCGGATTCGGAGATTTCCGAGCAAAGAGGATGTGAAATTGAGGGACAGAGATTCTCTGCCCGATAACGCATGGATGAGCTGTCGCCATATTTGGAGGATACGGTGTTTGGGCTTCACCGGAATCTCTCACCGAACTGAGAGTCTTTGCCTGATTCGACCGCTCACGAGTCACGACGTGTGTGGATAGGGAGAGGATTGTTTGATGATATACCCGCACATTTGCCAATTTTACCTTATTTTATTTATACCAAAAAAACTAATTAAATAGTGCATACTTTTTTTTTTTTTAACTCAAGGTAAATTCCAAGTCTATAGGGGCTTGGACTAAAAACTAATTAAATAGTGCATAATTTAATCTACTTTTTTTTTTTATAACTCAGTTTTTTTTTTTTTTTTAACATCTGCTTATATCTAATATATTATTTGCAAAGTGAAAATTTCGTTTCCAGCCACCACGTTAACTCTCAGCTGGTTGATTATCCACATACCCTTAATGAAAATCTCATGAATATATTTATTTTTTTTTTATAAAGTAAACATTACTATATCTTTTTATACAATCGCATATATTATTTTGGATAATCACCACTATTTAAAAAAAAATTAAACCTCTACAAATCTATACATACACTATATATATTTAACTTTAAATCTCTCTCCATGACATGAACATAGTTTTCTTCTGCCGATGATAGCCATACCATAGTTCAGAAGTCAATTTTTTGCTAGACGTAAAGTGGCTTAAATAATCCCTACCTTTGATCTAGGCAGAAAAAGCTTACTGCACAAAGGCTCTACAACTCCTGATTTCAAGGAATTTGAGTTAGTACAATGGATTAGATGTTAGGCTGCTTTGGGATTTGACTATGGAGTAATCTTCTTTTACTGAAACAGATCCATGAATTAGTTGTTATCGGTTAGTCTTACGAATAGTGGTCTGGTAAAATTTCTTACTCAAGTTATTAAGTTACGTAGAGAAGAGCCCACCACTACAAACTCTCATTGCCGTAACAGAAAATCTAAACCTCCAAAAAGAAAGTAGATATTAGAGGTAGAAAAACAACGTTTTTGTCGGAGTGCTTTTTAAGGGTTGATCTCATGTTTTAATAAAAAGATTATGTACTATGTATATGTGACACATCAGGTAACAACCAATTTTGATTCATATGTGCCGATTTTCTATGACTTCTTTTTTAATAAGAAGATTACAAGCTGTGTATATGTGACACATTAGGTAACTACCAATTTTGATTCATATGTGCCGATTTTCTATGACTTCTTCTTTTACGAAATATATTTGATTGATTGTTTCATAAATTCTTTGACTTGATTTAGAAATACTATTATCTCCACTAGAGTTTGATGATGATTATGTTATTTGCGAATATCTTGCAGCAAATAGCAGTTTAGAGCCCTCAGTTTTGTCCTAAATATTTGATCGGAGATGGGCAGATGGCAAAGACCGGCACTGTTTCCAATCCCCGTTAAAGGCTCAAGTGGTACATATTTCTCAGTTTCCAAAGAAACATGTGCCATAATTTTACACGATCATCGGGAAAAGGTCCAGCTATGGGACAATGATGTGGAAAGCATCGGTCTACGTCTCATGAAGGACTCGGGTGTTTCTGTAACGAGTGTATAAAAATGATCACATGTTTTTTTTTGGTTGAGAGAAGAACACAAATTTCTCTAAATTTTTTTACCAAAAAAGAAGAGAAATGTACCTGAGGAAGCCGAGAAAAGGAAATCACCAAAGCCACCGTCTTCCGTCGCCCATCTACTCCTAGACACCACCGTCTTTCGTGAAGTCGTCGAGTGGAAGCTGACCTCTTTTACGCTCATCGTCGCCATGTCTCCGTTTATTTTTCATGAGAGAGTGAATGGTGGAAAATTTCATCCAAGTTATTATTAGGAGAATCGTGATCCAAGTTACCTCCCTCCACCTTTGAGCTGTTGTTGCGTTGAGTAGAACATGTCGTTGTCACTGGTAAGCGAGACTGGTTTACGAATGCCGTTTACGTAATTGATTTGTGAGCTTGTGGACATTGTTTCTTAAGGCCTAAGCTTTTGTGGGTAATTGTTGATTCATAATATATGTGATTTTGCCTCCAAAATATGTTCTTGCTTTTAATATCTACCGTGTTGTCCTTCTTGGGTTCGGATATGAGCTTGTGGTTCTCTCATAGTGCTCAGTCTGTTGACTGATTAAGGAAAGACATATCATTTAGACGTGCATTGTCGGTGTCGCGAGACTGAATTTGTTCAATGCTCGATGAGATAGGAAGTTTTAAAGCAGTTGGACGCGAAGAGAAGACAAGGGATCGTGTAGCTTCTCCGCTGATCAGATAGAGTAATGAACTATATGATTAATATTTAAGATTGTTTAGCCTACTTTTAGTTTCATGATAGAGTGCTATAATTTTCTGGAGCTGGATATGGTTAAGGTAGAAAATGTGAAGGCATACAATATCCGGATTAAAGATGGATAGAGGTCTCAGACTGAGCACATGTGTTAACGGTTCTGAAAATTATTAGACAATTCAAAATGATCCGAGTATTATACTGGTTATGGTGTAGTGTTTATGGAGAGGGAAGGTGAGGGTTATTGTAGGGTTAAGGTTTAGAATATAGAGTTGATATTGGTGGGTGTAGGAGTTAGTTTTGTGTGCATTAAAAAAAAAATAGTTCATGAACATTTACGAAAGAAGACATAGAAAAACAACTAAATTATTTATTTTATTTGAATCTGATAAATAAATGTAATATGAAAAGTAATGAAAAAACATCAGATATTAAATTTGAAAGGTAATGAAAAAAATAATACAGAAAGAGAGGAATATTTTCGTCTTTGATCTAACACATATGGAATATTTTAATAAGAGAAATCATTATTTGTTAATTTTTTTTTTCTAAATGATAAAAAAGTGAAAGGTAAAGAAGATGACAAATAAAATCATAAGGAAAGAACAATGACGAAGAAGATGAAATCGTTGGAGTTTAAATTGTTATTTCAAAAAAAATATTTTGAAATAACTGAAATGGGTTTGTCCATCAGGGAGAATAAACATCATGAAAAAATTGGGAATAATAAAAATATATATGAAAATAATCCTTGAAAGTCTATATGTTTTTTAAAAACTTAAGAGATCTTTTCACTTGCCCGACCTTGAAAATCTATATGTAGATTGTTGGATAATTGTCAAAATATTATATTTTTTTTATTTTATATTTGTAAATGAGAAACGATTCTTGAGAAGATTAGATCGTTATTAGTGTCCGAGAAAAAAATATAAATAAAGAAATAGAATATAAATGAAAATCCATACGAAGAAGAAATATAAATAACACTTAAAGTAGGCGGAGTAGAAGAAGAAAAAAGTTTGGAAGATGAAAATGACAAAAAAGAAAAAAGTGAAGACAGAAATGATAGACAGAAAACCAAAAAAAAAAAGAATTGAAGAATATGCGAATAAAGAATAAATTGACAAAATCAAAAGATAAAAAATTAAAGAATTGAAAAATCAAAGAAGAAAAAAAGGTATAAAAAGAGAAAAAAAAATAAGAAGAGAAGTAAAAACTGGAATAAGATGATGCCACAGAAGATGAAGATGATAAAGATAGAGAGATGGAAAAATGAAGAAGAAGTAGAAAACCGGAAAATAAATATAAAGAAAATTAGAAATAATTAGAAAAATAGTGAATTAGAGGATGTAAAGAAACAAGAAAAGACTGAAGAAAAAAGATTGAAAGAAGAAGAAGAATAAGAAATAAAAAAAGATGATGACAAGGAATAAACAAATTGAATAAAAAGAAAAAGATGTGATCACTAGAGAAAAATAAGAGGGAGACGAATACAACCATTACAAAATGAAAAAAAATTTCCAAAAAATAAAAAGAAAATAAAAGTAAATCCAAAATCAGTTTGTAATGTGGGATTCATGTGTGTGGTTAAGAGGGGGTATAATGTAGGTGTTAGTTTAGGGTGTAAAGTTGTTTGGGGAGGGGGTGATTTGTTATAATGTGGGTGTGGGTTTATGGTTGTTTAGGGGGGCGGATGTTATAATGTGGGGTTTAGGTTTAGGGTATAGAGTTGTTTATGGGGAAAATTATAATGTTGGGTTTGGGTTTAGGGTTTATATTGATGGGTGTAGGGTTTAGTTTTTTGTGCATTTTTAAAATTTTGAATTATTATGAAGGTACATCAAAATTAACAATCATTGATTATAAATTTATATCTACCATTCTAAAATACATTCACAAATAGAAAAAAAAATAAAACAATTGAAATTCAGAAACAAAAGATAACAAGATAAATATATTTTTAAAAGATTTAGACTATATAAAGATAAAAATAGGTGAAATACAAGACGTAAACAAGAAGGAATAAAAAATACGAGTAAAAGAAAAGAAGATGGAAAATTTCGAGAAGAAGGAAACTCGAACATGAAGAAAAATAAAACAATGAAGAAAAAATGGAATGTGACAGAAAAAGACAAAGAAGAGATAAATAAAAACTAAAATAAAATGATGTGAGAGAAGACGAAGATGATAAAGATAAAGAGAGAGGAGGAATGAGATAAATCTGTGGGGTTTAGATTTTGGGTGTATGGTTGTTTAAGGGTCTGACTGGTTTAACCGCTGCGGTTGCGGTTGCGGGAGTTTGCGGCTGCGGGAGTTTGCGGAAGCGGGAGTTTGCGATTAAAAGCTGTTTGTACGACTGGTATAGCAATTCATAGCGGTTGCGTTTGCGGGATATTTTTGACTGGTTAGCCAGCGGGTGCAAGAGCGGTTTAACCAAAAGTTACTAAAATAAAAATAATATATAATTATTCAAAACATTTATAACCATATTAATAATTTTTTTTTTGAAATATATTTTTTGATGAATTTTTAATTTGAAAACTACCCTTTTTTTTTGGTTTTGAAAAATACACTTTTTATATGTAAAATGATTATTCCTAATTTAATAAAAACGAAATTCAAATAAGAAATATAAAATATTAATATTTGATAATAATTTTGTATCATTTTAACATCCTAATTACCTGTTTAGTTTTTTTTAAACAATTTAATAAAAATATAAGATTGTTTATATAAAGTTTAAATGGGGTGAGATTAAAGTTGTTTATGCAAAGTTTCAAAAATATTTAAATTTTTCAAAAGATAAACATTAAAAATGAAAGATATATTTCTCCACTTTTAAATTTTTAATAATTTATAAACTTTAAATATATGTAAAGTTTTAATTTATTTAAAGTTTCATTTGGTTTGAATGTGTATGAGGTTAAGTTGTTTATATAAAGATCCAAAATATTAAAATTTGTTTCAGTTTAACATATACTATATTTATTTGAAAAAAAACTTATTAGTTTATTATTTTTTTAAATTTTCGTTTATAATTTGTAATTATTTATTATTTTTTTGTTTAAATCACGTCAAAACATACTTTTTACATTTTAAAAGTGTATTTTTCAAAACAGAAAAAATTTAGGGTATTTTCGAAATTTTTAAACATAATTATGGTATTTTTCAAAAAAATATACCCTTATTCCAAATTTGGAGATATTATGTTTTTTTTTTTTTTTTTTCAAACCGCAACCGCCCGCAACCGCAAACGCTTGCGGAAAGGAGCTTTTGATTTTCAGCGATATAGAGCGGTACAGAGTGGTATAGAGCGGTTGAAAGCGGTTGTCGTGATTGTTATAAAACGCTAAGAACCGCGGGTGGTAGCGGGAGAACCAATCATCACCTAAGAGGGTGGTGTTACGCTGTGGGGCTTGGGTTTAGGATGTAGGATTTATATTGATGGATGTAGGGTTTAGTTTTTGGTGCACTTTAAACATTTGAATGGAAGAATATCATAATGAAAATATCAATGATTATAAATTTATACCCACCTTTCTAAATTAAATTCGCAAATAGAAAAATTAACAATTAAAGCAAATCCAGAATGGAAAGATAACAAAACCAATATATTTTTATAAGATCTCGACTATATAAAGAGAAAAACTATTTCACAAATCCTTGAAAACATAACCTATCGAATGAATTGATAGGTGAAATACAAGACGTAGGCAAGAACGAATAAACTAACAAATAAAAGAAAAGAAGACAATAAAAAAGAAGATGGGAAATTTGGAAAAGAAAAAAATAACTCAAATATGAGGAAAAAGAAATCAAAGAAGAAAAAATGAAATGTGAAGAAAAAAAGACAAACAACACATAAATAAAAACAAGAATAATATGATGTTAGAGAAGACGAAGATGATAAAGATAGAGAGAGGGGGAATGAGGAAGAAGAAAAACCGGAAAAAAAAAGAATATAAAGAAAATTAGAAATAAAAAGCAGAATAGTGAGGTGGAAGATATAAGAAAAGATTGAAGATAAAAATTGGAAGAAGAAAAAGAAAAAGATGATGAGAACGAATATAAAATTGAAAGAAAAAATAAGAGGGTGAGATCATTAGAGAAGAATAAAAGAGAACAAATAAGAAGTTGAAAGTCTTTTGTATTTCTTTAAACGAATGGAGAAGAAGAAGAAAACTCGAATATGAGGAAAAAGAAATTGAAGAATAAAAAATGATTTGTGAAGAAAAAAAGGAAAAAAAAACAGATAGCTAAAAACTAGAATAATATGAGGAAGAAGAAACACCGAAAAAAAATGTAAATAAAATTAGAAAGAAAAAAAGAAGAAAAGTGAGCTGGAAGATATAAAAAAAGAATTAAGAACAAAAATTGGAAGAAGAAAAATGAAAAGGTGATGAGAACAAATATAAAATTGAAAGAAAAATAAGAAGGTGAGATAATTAGAGAAGAATAAAAGTGAACAAAATAAGAAGTAAGAAAGCTTTCATATATTTCTAAAATAATGAAGAAAAATATATAGAAGAACGAGAAAGAGAAGACAAAAATAAGACATATCAAAATTACAGAAATAAGAAATTGGCGAAAATAAAAATTGTATATAATCAAAAATTCTACTATTTATATTATTAATTTTTTAAATTAATTTTTATTTAAAAAGTATTGTACCCGCACGGGGTGCGGGACAAACACCTAGTTAGATTATAAAGTGAAAGGAGAATACAAATAGTTTCTCAACCAAATAGGAGGAGATGAGAAAAACATACAATCACTTTGTGAGTTTTGATAAGCTTTTGCTAAAACATATGCAGCTTGATTCCTTTCCCTATTAACATAATCTAAAGAACATAGTGGAAGCTTGTGTATCCAGTAACGAATATCACAGAGTAAATTCCTCAAATCCATACTTGATTGTTGTTGATTGATGATCTTCGTTAGCCCCAAACTATCTCCTTCAAACCATACATGCCTCCAACCTCTGCTCCAGACCCTCTGCACTACATATAAGAAGCCCGTTGCTACCGCTTGTAATGGTGTAGCCACTTTTGGTAATTTTGTCCATCCCGATTCTACAAATCGACCATTGTGATCTCTCACTATCCAACCAACAGTCATGAAATCTAGCTCTGAACAAAAACCACTATCAAAATTGCACTTTAAAAAACCTTCCGGTGGTGGTTCCCATTGTGTCAATGCTCTCTGATCTGCTGCATTTCGCTTTTGTTTCTCCGGATTTGCCTCCAACCATTCCATTGCTGCATTGATGCCCCTCTCTGCATCTTCTTGTGGATGTTGAACCTTGTTTTGAAATAGCATTTCGTTTCTTGACTTCCATATTATCCAAAGTATCCAAAATGGAGAGTAATGTACCTCATATGGCAGTGTCTGCGTATCTTTAATGGACATCAATTTTTCGTATATTTTCTTCTCATGATCCTTGTCCATCCATACTTGAGATATTCGCACATCGCCAAACTGATTGAGCTTACTGGCATTGAAAGAGAAAATGATTGATAGTTTCTTCATCTAAGCAACATCGTTGACAAATGGGATCAACATTTAACGATTTTGTGCAAAGCCTTTGAGCCGTTGGTAACGCACCTGATAAAACCTTCCAACAGAAGTGTTGTAATTTCGGGGCTATTTGTGTCTTCCAGATTTTCTTCTTCAATTCAATTGAACCTGGGGGTGGTTCAATCTGTTCATCATCTGGAATCATGTGTGTCGACACCCAATAGCCTGATTTAACTGTATACACTCCTCGTTGTATATGGCCACACATATTCATCTCTTTCAGCATATCTAGACAGTCTGATTTGCTTCGCTAGTAAGACATCTTCCGGTATTAACACTGCTGCAAGCTTTTCCTCATCCCATTCTCTTCTTCCCGTTTTCCATAACTCTTCCACCATCATCTTTCCGTTATTTCCTTGACGCTGAACCACCCTCGGGGGAAAATATGGGAGCCAATGATCGTCTCACACACTTGTTTCCTTCCCATCTCCTAATCTGACCTGTAACCCTTTTTTGAGCAAGACTTTTCTTGCTTGAATTGACCTCCATCCATATGATGGATTCGTGCCACTACTCGACTCTAGGAACGTCGAAATTTTGTGGTATCTCCCTCTATACAACCTTGACAACAGAGATAAAGGGTTTTTAAGTATTCTCCCCGCTTGTTTTGTCAATAATGCAATGTTAAAATTATGGAGATCTTTAAAACCCAAACCTCCTTCATTGGAAGTGAAAAACGCTTCCATGATATCCATGATATTTTCCGATTTCCATTGTTGTTTGTTCCACACCAAAACTCTGAAAGCATGCTATCAATCTTATCACATGTTTGTTTTGGTAAAAGAAAACAATTCATGGAATATACTGGTTTCGCTTGTGCTATCGACTTTATTAACACCTCCTTCCCAGCTGAATTTAGAAATTGGTTGTACCATCCGTCAACTGTCTGCTTAACCCGATTCACAATGCCTTGAAAAGCCTTCGTTTTGCTCCTTCCAAACTGTTCTGGAAGCCCTAAATACTTTCCACCTCCCCCTACATTAATGATTCCCAAAACATTCTGAATTGCTTGTTTCCTTGAATGACAAATTCTCATTCCAAAAATAATTGATGATTTTTGGAGATTAACTTTCTGACCTGATACTTGCTCATATTCTTGTAAGATTTTCGCCATACGTGTACTATCTTCATGAGTAGCATTGCAGAAGAAGAGAGAATCATAAACAAATAAAAGATGGGACACCGATGGACAATGTTTTGTAAGTGTCATACCCTGAAATTCTTTTCGAGCTTCTGTTTGTCGAAGCATTTGTGATAATGTTTCAGCACAGAATAAGAAAAGGTATGGCGAAAGAGGATCACCTTGGCGAATTCCTCGAGTTGGTTGCACATGACCATAATCTGATCCGTTGATTATGATCGAGAATGTCACGGACCTGACGCAAGTCATTATCCAGCGTATCCAAACCTCAGAGAATCCCATTTTCCTCATTACCTCCTCGAGGAAATTCCACTCGACCCGATCATACGCCTTCCTAATATCTGTCTTGATGGCCATATATTTCTCTGCACAATCGCGTTTTGACTTCAAAGCATGTATTAACTCATGAGCAACCATAACATTGTCGTGTATCTGTCTACCAAGAACAAAAGCAGCTTGATTATCTGATATTATAACTCCCAAGATCTTTTTTAAACGCAAGACCAAGATCTTTGAAATTATTTTATAATTTACAGTGCATAAGCTGATTGGCTTGTAATCTGAAATCTGATCTGAGTCAGCCACCTTTGGTATTAAGCAGAGTTGTGTATGGTTCATCCTTGGTTCCAATTCTCCTGTGACAAAGAATTTTTTGACCATTAAACAAACATCTTCCCCAACATCAGTCCAGAAATGTCTAAAGAAAGATGCAGAAAAACCATCGTGACCTGAAGCCTTATCCGGACCAATAAGAAGTATTGCCTCCTTAATCTCCAAGTCTGATACTTCCTTTGTCAGCTCTTCATTCATTCTTTCGGTAACTTTGTGGTCCATCACTGGAATTACCTCTTCTAAAGGTATTGTATCAGAAGCTGTAAACATTGTAGTGAAATAATCCTCTACTACTTTTGCAATAACTTCATCTTTGGTATGCACAATTCCTTGATCATCCCTTATTCATTTAATGCATGTTTTCCTCCTCCTTGCTTTTGTAGCTCCATGAAAGTAAGCTGTATTCCTATCTCCAGCCTGCAGCCAATGGGTTCTACTTTTAAGATTCCAATATACCTCCTCGTTATAATAAGCACGATTAAGATCTGATCTTAGCTTTTTGATTTCCGTATTTAGAACCTGATGATCTCTTAACGCCTTATCCAATTTACTGCGGATAATCTGTATTTCTTCTGCTGCATTGAATCTATTTCTTCTCTTCCACTTTGACATTTCCTTCCTACTTAAACCAAGTTTTGTAGACAAATCATCAATGTGAGAAAGGCAATTTACCCAATGATGCTTCACCGTATTGACAAAATCATCATGATCAGTTAATCTCTTGTCATATCTGAACTGATATCGCCTTCTTCTTTCCTCATAAGCAATTGTGACAATCATAGGTCTGTGGTCTGATTCTGCCATGTCTAGAAATTCTGTTTCTGAAATCAGAAACAAAGCACGCTATTCAGAATTAGCCATAACTCTATCTAAGCAAACATTCAACAATACCACTTCTTGTGTTTCCCACCCAACTGAAACGATTACCTTTGTGTTGTATATCCTTCATATCACAGATATTCATTATCTGTTTGAAGTCCCTGAAGCTGCTCTGTGCTCGTAATCTTCCTCCCCATTTCTCTGCATTACTAACAATTTCATTAAAATCCTCACACATCATCCAAGCACCCTGTCTCGATGTAGCAATTCTCTGTAACTTCTCCCAAAGACAATGGCGTAAACTAGGCATTGGGTTTCCATAGACACAGGACAAGTAGAATTGAAATGACTTATATTCCACATGAAGATCAACAAGACGAACATCAACAGAAATACAACTAACTAAAACATAATCCTTCCATAAAACAACTAAACCACCACTAAGCCCTTGAGGCGAGACTATTTTCATCTGATTAAATCCTAATTGAGCTCCAACATCTCTCACATAGTCATCACTCTGTTTTGTTTCCACCAGGAACAGCAGGTCTGGTTGATACACCCTCTGTATCTCCCTTAGACGTCGAACTGTGAGGCGCTGTCCCAAGCCCCGACAGTTCCACACCTCGACCTTCATGGAACTGGTGGTGGTACCGGGCCCACCGCGCCTCTGTCTTGTGGAGTCGTGTCCGGAGAATCCGCACCCGAATCTGTGTAATCAGCTTGCAGTTTCCCAAGTGCGTTTGGCTCGTCATTGTTCCCCAGATGGTATGAACTGCTTGCCGCCTCCTTATCACCACTCAGCCTCGCCTTCTTCTTACTTGGTTCCGACTGCAAAGCTTCAAGAACATCAAATTCCAAGAAACTTCCATATTCCTGAAGATTACCTCCCTCGTCTAATGGATTCTCCCTTGGTGGAGTGAGAACCTCTAGTGCCTCCGCCGCCTGAGTTGCGAAATGCTCTCCGTGGACTGTTGGTGATGCCTGGAGGCGCTCCTCTTCATCGCGGATGAGATCCACAACTAACGCATTCATAAATCGCCTCTTCCGTTGAGCTTGAGCCTCGGTTTCACAGCGCTGCATCAACTCCAACGGTGTCATGGCAATGTCAGGGGAGTCACTATTCCCCTCATCAGCATTCTCGTCCATTCCTTCGTGATCCTGAGGTTGATCAGGCTCATACTCTTCCTCGTAGTTTGGCATCGGCTGTTGGTTGTTGAGTTGTTGGATAAATGGATCAGGAATATGATTATGTTCGTCCTCTTCGTTGTCTCCTTCTTCATTGTCTCCGTCGTTACTATCGTCACCGCCCGGCTGTATATCATCAGGCATGACACAATCTCCCGTCTCATGTGTGATTCGCTCACAAACTTCACAGAATCCTCTCAGCTGAACTTCAGGATTGTATTGTTCCCCGGTGAGAACTGAAAGTTCCTCTGGAACCGTAGTGGGTTATCCATGTCCCAAGTTACCTTCACCCTCACGAACTCCACCGCTGCCAGAAAAAAAGTAAATCCTGATTGAAAAATCATATATATTCTCTTATATACATCTGTTATTGAAAATCAATTGTCATTTTGACATACACATTTGTTAATTAAATTATGTAAAATCACTATGCAAACAAAGTAACTTTTACTTTTTAATTTTTCTATATAAACATCGAATTCAATTACAAAAATAATTAAAAAAAAAAACTTTTGTCTTTCTCTTTTATATATTTTTGCAATTATAAAACACTATTTTGTCTTGATTTATGTTTTATTCTCACAATTAATTACACTAGTATAAGTTTATAACACATACTTAATTTTGAAAGAATTGAAAAAACATTTGTTTCAGTTGAATAACTTTCTCACCCCTTTATCAGAAAAAAAAACTTTCTCACCCTAAAAAGTCAATTGAGTGAAAGTCCTATTGTCTCCGTCGATAATTTAGTTACTAGTAGTAAAAAGGAAGAAATGGTAAGTGTAAAGAGGGAACAAATCCCCAAAGAATATTACGTTGGTCAGTCATTTAGCTGCCGAATCGAGATCAGACGCAGCAAATGCTCATCTTTTCCTCTCTATTGATTTGATTGGGCTTCTTTCTTCCACAGCTTTGATCATGTCTCCTTCTCTCCATCCAAGTCATGTATTCCTCTGCTTCCTCATTTCTTTCGCTTTCTTCGTCGACCCCTCGTCACAGCATCTCGACGACGTCAGGAAGAAACAAATGCGAGAGAAAGTCCGCGAGATGTAAGCGTCGTTTCAATACTTGATGACCCTTTTGTTCTCTTTTTGAATTTACCTGATTATCCTTTCTGCTCTTGCTGCTTCTCCACCGAATGTATGTATGCAATTAAGTAAAACAAATGTGCTCTATTCAAGCTCATGTTGGTAGGTTTGGCCCTTTTTGGCTCACTCGTAATAGATTCCCATTGGATGCTTTTACTTTGTTCGGTGGTGTTCTTTGAAAAACTATTTAAACCCTTTCGAATCTGAGATTTGATCAAGTGTGGTCAAGCTTCATTAGGAGGAATTAAGCAATACAATTTTAGAGACTTGGACAGAATTTCCATAAGTTTGCTAATTCGTCCAGAGGTCTGCGTGCCATTAGTCTGCATTTGGTTGTCTAGTTAAATCATGTGGTTCCTTTTGGTGTTGTTGTTTATAGTCTTTAAAGAGGGTAGAGTTGCTTGGAAACCAGAAGAAGGATTAAATAAGAGAGAATGGAAAAGAAGAGAGCGAGCAAATAGTGTTATTGATGATAGTTGCATACTTGTTTTATCTCGTTTTACAGGTTCTACCATGCGTATGACAACTACATGACTTACGCATTTCCTGTTAGTGAACTACTTCAACTTAACGTTCTAAAGAATTCTGGCTGCTGTGTTTCTGAATCCCAATTACATTTTGAATTTGGGCAGCATGATGAGCTAAAGCCTCTTACAAAAACTTTCACAGACTCCCTCAGCGAGCTTGGAAATCTTAAGGTAACTTAGTAGCTCATAGAGCACCATAAAGGATTTGAAGCAGAAGCTTGACTCCAAGATTTCTGATTTCCAGCTTGAACACCTGCCAACAGATTATAATGGATCAGCTGTGACACTTATTGAATCCTTGTCCAGGTACTGTTATGCAAAAGTGAAAGCATTCCCTAAGTGGCTTTCCAATACAAGTTTGACATGATTCTCCTTTGTCCCAGCCTTGCTATAATGGGAAACAAGACAGAATTTGAAAAGGGGGTTCTCTGGCTCTCAGAAAATCTAACATTCGATATTGATGCACGGGTCAACCTTTTTGAGGTAAAATGCAATCAAGGGACTTCATACGAAGCTTAGTTTATTTGCTCTTTGGTAGGAGTCTAGTCCAGTAAATGGTCAACCTTGTTACTTTTTATGAACACTTTGATATAAAGTCAAATGCTCTTGAAGTTTGCTTCAAGAATCTCGATGTGTCCCTGAGTTCCATAAATGTGTTTACTCGCACTTAATGCTTCTAACTGGTGCTAATTTTGCTTCTGATCTGTAGTGCAATATAAGAGTTCTTGGAGGACTTATCTCTGCTCATCTTCTTGCAATTGATCCAACTAATAGGTTGATCCAGGGGTCCTACAACAACCAGCTTCTTCACTTAGCCGAAGACCTAGGAAAACGCTTTTTACCAGCGTTTGAAACACCCACAGGATTACCATATGCATGGATAAATTTTAAGGTATTGCAACGTCACTCGTGGAATGCACCTAAGATAATTTAACATCAATGCATCTGAAATCATGGCTATCTGATGTGAAAAGGAACAGTCACTTTGATGGTTTTAATTGAATTATATAAAGGTTTCTGCGCTCTTACCCGCTATAGTTTGAGATCACTCTTCTAGTTTTCTTGGAAAAGGGATTTTTACCCCAGTATTATCTTTTGGCAGAATGGAGTAATGGAGAATGAGACAACTCAAACAAGCACTTCAGGATGTGGTAGGTGTTTTGTTTTCTCATATATCCTTTACGCTGTGGTGGCAAATAAACACTAATATTTTTCTTTTATGAAAATAGTTTTCCGAATGTCTTCATGGAATTTATTGACAAGCATCTTACACTTTAGGTTCTCTCATTCTTGAAATGGGAGCATTGTCACGGCTCACTGGTGACCCTAGATTTGAATCAGCTGCATTACGTGCGCTTCGTCAGCTATGGAGGATGCGCAGCTCGTTAGATCTGCTTGGGACGACATTAGATGTTGTAACTGGGGAATGGCTTGAGTACTCCTCCAGCATTGGAGCTGGTATGTTGTTCATTTTCAGAGAATTCTAGTGGCCATTCTTTTTCTCCAAGAGATATGCTGCAAAGTCCTTTTACTTATACGTGTAGAATTAACTTGTGCCTTAGATTGGTGCTGCTCTGATTTGTAATTTCATTTCTGGTCTTTTAAAGGGGTTGACTCCTTCTATGAATACCTCTTGAAAGCTTATATTCTTTTTGGAAAAGAAGACTACTGGCAAATGTTTCGTTCTGCTTATCTAGCATCTCAGAAGTACTTTAGACATGGGCCTTGGTAATATATACTAACCTGAAAACAACGTACTTCTGCAATCTCCATACAACTTCTGTTATGCCAGAACTTAGAACTGCTAGATGTAGTAATGAGTTTATCTACTTGGTTTAGGTACCACGAAGCTAATATGTGGAGTGGGAAACCAACTTATTGGCAGCTCACAAGTCTTCAGGCGTTTTGGCCTGGTCTACAGGTATAATGAATGAAAGGATTAGTTAAATGCCATAGATAGAGCAGTTGAAATGGGGATATTCTGGTTGTCATTCTCAAGTTCTTACTACTAGGTTCTTGTTGGGGATGTCTCAGCTGCAAATTCATCTCACCGCGAGTTTTTTCATGTATGGGAGAAATTTGGTGTTTTACCTGAGAGGTATGCATTCAGTTAGATTGAGTTCTCAGTCATTTGTAAGTTTGCTGTTTCGGCTAAAGGACGCTGAACAAATATTTGTTCAGGTATCTGTTGGATCATCAAATGATACATCCTACTGAGAAGTACTATCCACTGCGTCCTGAATTAGCAGAATCAACATTCTACCTATACCAAGCTACAAAAGGTTTTTGCTTATTTTCTTTCAGTTGTCTCACCCTGAAGATTTATAATGTAAAGCACCAGGTTTGAGCCAATTCATTCCTTTGCTCCTTTTTTTTTTGCAGATCCATGGTACCTAGATGTTGGTGAAACAATGGTAAAATCTCTTAATCTGTACACAAAGGTGGCAGGGGGATTCGCAAGTGTTAGAGATGTCACGACTATGCAACTGGAAGATCATCAGCACAGTTTCTTTCTCGCTGAAACGTGAAACTACCATTCACTTCCTTCACGTAATTCTTTTTATACCTATACAGTGTCAGAACTCAGGACATAATTTTGGTTGTTATCTCACATGCGCAGGTGCAAGTACTTATATCTCCTCTTCGATGATTCATTTGTGGCCAAAAGGAATTACATATTCACAACCGAGGGCCATCCTCTGCAGGTTATGAGCTCCTGGCATGAGAAACTACCAGAAAATTATTTCTCAGGCAACTGGACGTTTTCAAAGGTCAGGCTTTTGTCATTTTGGAAGAAATAAGACGTGAATTCATAGTTTATATCGAGTGTGCATTAGCGAGACAGAAGGGCGTGGATTGAATGAATCAAAATAAGTCTCTGTCATTATTAGTCCTTACCTCTGCTTCTGCTAAACTCTAAATTTACAAATTTGCAGAGTGGAGCATGGGAAAGTGGAGCAAGCGCATTGTCAATGCAAGTCTGTCCATCGATAGCTCCCAACTCTAGACGTCCTGAGCAACATAGAGAGAGTGTTTGTCATGTTCCTGACAAAAAAATGGATCATAGGTGTTGGGGCAACAAAGAGTGTGGAGTTGACGCCACTAGCTGTAGACAGAGATCTTGCAGCGGGGTTGGATTCTGCGGCTTATGGAATCCCTTATAAGTTTATATAACTTTTAACTTAAAAACAGAATACATGGTTTTGAGTTCCATGAAACGAAAGAGACCGGACTTATGAATAGAAACTGTAAATTAATGTGGAAAAGACAAGTTTTGGTGGACAGAAATATATAGTTGTTGTCTTGTTGATGCTGTTGAGTCAACTCAGATCTTGACATGGATTTTTGTCCTTTTTATTTACTATGGGAAGATCAACCTCGATCAAATGGGGCATTGGAGATAATGGTGTTTCTCTTTGTTTGTTTCAAGAATATCTTTACGAAACGGATTCCTAGAACACCCTTGAGACGATCAACAGAAACCTTTTGTCATTTCAATTCACCATAGATGTTTAATGCAGATGTTAGCTACTATATGGTCTCTAGACTATATGCTTCTATGACTCATATCAATGAGACGGTATCAATTTAGCATGCCACCTACAAACCAGTCATGAATTCAACAACAGGGTAGGGATTTTTCTTTCTTTTTGTGATGGATGATCCATCTAAAATAAAAAGAGAAGCGACCCCATTAAAAGGCTCGCAGTAGAATGTCCACATGTTGCACGAACCAGTTCCAAAGTACGAAAGAACATCATATATTCTCCAGTTGTACAAGTATTTGAAGAAAAAACATTGCAATAGCTTTAATCTTTATTGAGGTTTTATATGGCAGACACATGCATCCACCCCTGAGTAATTTCTGAGTTCAGCTATTACTGATAAACACCTCAACTCTTGAGATTGAAAGAGAGGTCAAAAAGGACTAAGATTCCGCAGATGAGGCAGCGTCATCTTTGTGCTTAATCATGCCTGAGTCCACAAGGATTGGGATCTCTGCAGCTAGCCATGGAGCGAGCCCCAAACAAAGTGCATGTGCTATTCCAAACCGAGGACTGCATAAACAAAAAGTCACTCATCAATGTCAAGAAAACAAGCAGGGACTGATAGTCGTGATATATATATATATATATATATATATGGATTTGAATAACGTGTTCAAACTCAAGCTCAGGGTTGGCTTTGTGTTTATCAAGATCAAAACTACAAATATGTTGAACTATATGTCCACTTCAAAACAATCAACTTTCATTTTGACCAGCACAAACAGCTTAGTACTAGAGTTTTCCGGCCTCATTGAATCAACATCGACAACAAACCAATCTAATTAGCATCACAATTCCTTCTCTTACAATGTCTATGCAACCATAAGCCTAGTAAAAGAGGGAGACAGTGAATTACCAGTTTTTAGCCCAGAGTGGCTTGAAATGCACAGTCAGGCAAATCTTCCCACCTCGATACATCTACAGAAAACATAAGGAGATACAGAGAGAGAGAGAGGGATCAATAAAGACAAAGCCTATTACTGAGCAGAAACCACCTCTCAGATCGAGGGAGCAAAAAGGCGTTACCTTCTGGGTCTTGCCGTCAATCTCCGGCAGCTCAAGCTCGGGAGCAGTGGCCGGGTAGGTGATAGGGATATCGAATTGCAGATCGAATTCGTATTTAAGGAGGTTGTGAACATACCAGCACTTGCCAGTCCAACGTGTTCCTTCGGGATTGGAGGCGGAGATGCGGAACCAGTCGTTGTCGTTGGACTTGTTCATCTGGGTGTACGCAATCAAAGACTTGTACTCCTCTTTAAGCCTCTGCTTCCATGCATCGCCGTCTCTTGGCCCTGCCTTTGTCGCCAGAAGCGGAATTCGCGTTAGCGTCGACTTCGTGTTCGGATCCCATCCTTCCATTTCTCTCTCTTCCTCTCTCCGATTTGGGCGTGAATTGGAATTTCTGTATGTCTCTTTGTTCTCCTTTGTTTGACGATGGGAGCCGGATGCTGGATTCTGATTCCTCCTTATTGGTGGGACCAACAACAAAATGTAACCGAAATGACTAAACCGTCTTCAATTAGGAGACTTGGTTTAGTGTCGACTAAACCTTAAAATCGATTTGGTCAATAAAAATACCTTTGAAGTTTGGTTTGGTTTGGTTTGGTTCAATTACATAATGAAACACTGTAAAAACATTTTTAGTTGTAAGTTTTTTTTTGAGTTTTAGTGTTTTACAGATTGTGTTAACAAAATTAACCTTAGGTCTCATGGCAAAAACATATAAAAACATGGAAACATAGATAATCGGTATTTTGTGTAGCACTCTGCAATGAAGCTAAGGGGAACAAAATAGTGAGAATATGCTTGCAAACTCTAGTAGAAGCTGAATACAAAGTTTATCCAAAGACGGATAAACAATTGAAAGATGAATAAAGACGCCTTTTTAACTGAAGGACGCTGTTTCACAAGTAACCCGAACAACGTGATATTACTCAAAGGAGCTAGTGGAGGCTGCAGCAAGATTGTCCTCAACGTCTATGTAGCGACGCTCCACCAACAAAATACTAGGTTTCAAGACTAAGACGAATCTACTGGCCACCAGAACTAGATGACCTCACTCACTCTCCCAAAACTATTTCCCAAAGTCAGCGAGCACAGAGCCCAAGCAACATCATGGAACCAACAGCCTTACTATCTCCACACAAACTAAAAGCCAATCCAGAACCGGTTTACCCTTGAACAACAACCTCAACTCCAGAGACAAACAATTTAGAGCTTTACCAGAGAAAACATATCTCACCGAAGGAAGGAGCTCTGACCTCCATCCGGTTCCAAGAGCCCACCAGCAACAATAACGGACTGTCACCAAGGTAGAGTCACTACAATCCAGCTACGAAATTAGCCACTAAATCTGACCACAAACATGTCAAAAGGAAACCGCAAAAGCACAAAGCCGCTGCACAGACCCGTTCTCATACGAGATCTGGAAATTCTTGGTTGGCAGCAGTTTGTTTTTTTATGTATCTCGGGGATTACTTGTAAGATCAAAGTGTTATTAGGAGTTGAAAGCTTCATACAAGTTTACATTTTTAGTTTTTACACCAATATTATTTCTAGCAAACTTAGGCCATGTGTTTTTCTAAAATTTAGAGTAGTTTTTTGGTTAAAGTTTTTGAAAATCTACTTTACTATCCATTGAAGGTTTTAGAAAAAGTTGGCATGCATGAAACTAGGTTTTTATGTGTGTTTTTTCACTAGTTATCATTGAGAAACAAACTAAAACCATATATTACCTAAGATGTGAGTTAGACACCTAGACTGATTTGTTGAACTTGTTGTTATTTCTGTTTCTTTATTGTCTTGTGAACCCAAACTTTAGATGTTAAATTTAGAAAAAGTGTAATTCTGAAAATTAATTCTATAGAGGTGTAGTTTTGAAAATTGACACCTATAAAGTATATTTCTTAAAATTTCTCAATTACAAACTCAACGAAGCCAATTAGATGATCTCATGCATATCCGACGACTAGTCGCCTTGCTTTTATCGGAATTGCTTGATTTTGAGGATACAAAATATTACTCCCTAACTTTATGTTAGTTTTAGTAATGCAAATAGGACTTTCCTACACATAACCTCTATAAAATATAAATTTCCCTGGTCCCAACTCGGGCTAATGTAAAAAATAGCAAAATGCGATAAGATGATAATATTTTTGAAACTTCTATGTAAAAATATAGTCCCAACAATAAGCTAAAATAATAATTATAAAACTTAGACATATATATATCTAAGACAATTTAGTAAATTATGACTCCAATGTAGTTTCTCTTTTATCTTTTATGAAAGTTGGATTCTCGTTGGAGCTCATCTCAAATTTTTCTTATTGCATCAACAATTTCTGGTGTTGTGTTCATAATATGAAATATATAAATAACAAAGTATAAGTTATCTTATTATATAAAGCTGGATGCGTGCGACGTGGTTGCGACACGTAGATTTTTATAAAATTTAGGATTGTGACATGTGTCACTTTTAATGTTATGTCCGTTAAGATCGTGACATGTGTCTTAGAAAAAAAAAGAAAAAAAATAATAATTAAAAAAAATTAGATAAAGGAAAAAAAAACGAAATTTTAATCTTTTATAGTTAAAAAAAATATATATATTTGTCATATCCTAATAGAAAAGGTTTCTCATTCATCAAATTTATATTATCCAAACACATATAAGATTCAAATTAATGAAATAAATAAAATCCTATTAGTACATGAAATAGGTTAGGTTTAGTTAATCTTTTATAGTTAAAAAAAAATATTTGTCATATCCTAATAGAAAAAGGTTTCTCATTCATCAAATTTATATTATCCAAACACATATAAGATTCAAATTAATGAAATAAATAAAATCCTATTAGTACATGAAATAGGTTAGGTAAACTAAATTTCCTATAACTGCATGGAATAAGTTACATGAACCCTATAAAAAGAGAGTTAAAGTAGTTTTTTTTCTCATTCACAAACTCATCAAAGCAAACAACATGATAGCAATACGTATGATTTTTATAACTCACAAAATTGCGATATGTGTAATAAAATAATGATAATAAAAAAAACTAACTAATAATGAAAATGAAAATTTATAATGGTCTGAGTCAAAAACAAAATTGAGAAAGAAACAATATAAATAGAAAACTAACAAATTAATTATCAAGCAACTAACTAATATTAAGAAAATATAATGAACCGATATTCTAATTTTAAATAGTTTAATATATTTTCAATATTGTTAGGTAAAAAATTATTAAATAAAGATTTCATCAATTGAAATCTCTTGAATGGAATAATAAAGTTTTGTTGAATTAATTAATCAGTTGATCATATTTAGACATATATAAGTCTTTCTATATTGGATAAAAATAAAAATAAAACAAATTAATTCATTTTTTATATCATGAATTCAAAAAAATATCAATTACAATAAAAACGTAAAAAGGTTACCGATCTTATTTTATTTAAATATTTTTATCGGGTTTTTAATATTATTCTGTTTACTTTAAAATGATCAAATTTGGTTTAATACTTTTCCATGATTTTATTACAAAATCTTAAAATAAACCCGCGTATACGCGGGTCTTAATCTAGTATTTCTATAAAGTTTCTTGTTTTTGATAGAATATTTTTATAAAATAACTATTATTACTTTATCGATAAAATAATAACTCTATAAGATAATAAGTTTTCAAAGTTCTTAACATTATTGTTTTACAGAACTCTAGCTTTTCAGCTTTTGCTTTTGTTTGCAAGTACTTACTTACGTACTACATTGGTTAAATTCAATTGTGATGAATGTGATTTCAATTACCCAATAGCTGTGTTTTGTGTGCAAAAAAAAAAGAGCTTAGTTATTTAGTGCAAACGGCGCACTTTTCAACATGCATGAGCTAAAACGACAGGGTGTGTTTTTTTGCGTCTAGCGGACCTAGAAACTCTTCGGAATTAATTGAAGCAATCCCATCCCGGCTTTTCTGTTTTGCAGCAATTTTGGTGTGTGTCGATGCCAAATTTCTAATCGCTCAGTGCTGCTTCTGTGTCGCCGAGATTCTTCTCGGAATTTGAAAAACCCTAAATAAGCCACTGCGAAAGGCAACCGTATTTTTTTCCCCTTGACAATTCCGCAAGCCGAATCTCGAATTCACTATGGCGGCTGCGGCGACAGCCAGGGCGCAGGCTCTCTCTCTCATCGCCGCTGCGAACAACCATGGCGATTTGGCAGTGAAGCTCTCCTCTCTCAGACAGGTTAAGGAGATATTGCTGTCGTTGGAGCCGTCTCTCTCTGCTGAGATTTTCCCCTATCTCGCAGAACTCCACTTGTCGAGCGAAATTCTAGTTCGCAAATCCCTTATCGAGTGAGTCCCCCTTTTGAATTCTATACTTGGTACCTGCTTTTTGATTGCTTCTTTCACCTATCCCGGCTGCTGTTTCCCCTTGCTGTGCACGAACCCGTTGGATTTTTGTTTTCATTTTGTAGCGTGTTTAGGGTTCTTCTGTATTTCTGGGATATGTTTTTTCCCCAATCTGGAAAAATGTTTGATCTTTCACACAGCTGCCGTTATTGAAAATATTGTATACAATTCATCAATTCGACATGATTGTTTGTTTTTGGTGGGATAGATTTGTAACTTCCTATGCAATATGGTGGATACTAGTCGTCCATCTCTGCTCTAGTGCTATGGCACGCTCTTTGATTCCCCTCGCATAGTTTTCATTGGTGTCTATTAGGCTACATTATTCAGCTTACTTCTGTAGCTATTGATGGTGATTCATTTTTGATCAATTCTTTTGGGTGACAGCATCGTTGAAGAGGTTGGTCTGAAGATGCTGGATCAATCTTATGTTCTAGTGACTGTTTTACTAGTCTTATCAAAGGACGAGGATCCGATTGTTTCAAAGAAAGCTATTTCCGTTGGCACAACTTTCTATTGCAGCGTCTTGGAGGAGATGGCAATGCAGGTCTTACTGTTTCTTAAGCTGGTTATGTTGTCATTCGCATATGTTATTTTGAAACTCTTTATCGAGCTCTTTGCACAATAATACATTTCTAGTTAGTAGTTACCAGCGAAAGTATACTGCATGCTCGTAGTTGCCTTTGAGGTTATAGTAAAATACTTAAATTAATGGAATCACCCCTCTCATTTTCAATTTTTAAAACTTTGGTTGGTTTTATGTTGGTGCTCCTTATTTACAAATTTAAGGTTAGCATCATAAGAAATACTGAAGATAATAAAGCAGTGCAAGCACTAGTAGTTTTCTGTTGCATTTCTTATCCCTTTCCCTTACTTTTCTAATGAATTGGTCTTTATCAGTAAGTTCTGTATATTAGTAGAGCTTTGAGATCTTTGTGGGTGGTCCTGTATATTC